TTATGCTGTCTTTCAGTTTTCTCTCTATTTAGAGGCCCAAACGTGAAATTATTCCTTCAAAAGTTTTGTCTTGCATACTTGCCCCATGGAGGGGAACCATGACACCCCCCCTCCCCAGTGCCCCTTATCACTGATTTGCCGTTGATCCCGATTTTTTTCACCAGATCCTGATTTTTTTACTCTAAAATCCTGATTTTTAGATTTCATAGAGTGGCAGGTCTGATTTTAGTAACCTATCTAAACTGAAAACCCCGCTAAACCAAAGAAAATTCAGTGATCTTACAGATTTGAGTTTTAAGTGACTCCATTGTACTTGTAGGGGATGTAGATTGTACAAGGTCCACTTTTGAGCAAAGGCTAGGTAAAACGTTCCTGGCGAATTTTTTTCCTTTAGGCAATCATACAAACGGGAGAATGTTATACACAGGGAGCATTAGAATGTACCATACAAGTGAAATTTGACTATTACTCTGACCTCTTGTCCTCAAAGTCTGACTTATCTCTTGTTATAAGCTTCCCTTCCCATTAGGAGTTAAAAAATGTATTTCTTATTTTTATTTTCAGATTGCATCTGATGCAAGTAAAGATGGTGAGTTTTAACCATATTATTTTGTATTTTAATTTGTGACTTATCGTAAATGATATGAAAAATGCACATTCTTATTTCCATTTATTTAAGTGTATTTGCAATTCACTGTATGTTTATTTATTGCAGGAGGTTTGTTATGTGATTTTATTCTACTGTGGTTCCAGAGACTCTGATTCTTCTTCTTCTTCTCGATCGCATCACACTTGAAATCTGGTATCTGTCATAAATTGGGCCGTCCTGCTCAGTTCATCTGTCGGCCCGTATAGCTTCTCTTGCAGCGTCAGTGGGGTTGGCCACGTTTCCTGTCTCAGGGCCCTGTGTGTCTTGCAGTGCTGAAGGATGCGTTCAACTGTTTGGTCTGCCTCTCCACACTGGCATTTTGGTGATTGTGCTAGTTTAAAACATCTGTACATATGACTCTGATTTTTGCCCCAAATTTCTATTTTTTTTAGGACAATTTTGAGGAAAGCTTCTATTTTTGGTCAGGTAGTGGTTGGTAGGACTGCACATTTACTATAACTTTCACCAGTTTTATAATCTGCTGCCTATTATGTTTTCCTGATTTTGTCTGTGCTACATTGTGATCCACTTTACTTTGGTTCACCAATAACCATGTTGCAGACCATTGCACCGCTGGAAAACATGTACTTTATCTAACATTTACAAATTGTGCAGAGCCTAAATGATTCACTGTCCGTTGTGACCCACTCAGTTACAAATTTCAACAAAAGTTATAAGTTTACAGTACAAGTCCAATAGGAATTTAAATTCTAGTGCTCTCTTTTGGATTTTTCCCTCTTTGTCAAATGTTCTGTTACTGTTGATGGACAAGGTGGCCCACTCTCAAGAGGACCTTCCCCAAGGCTGATCCTTCAGATATATTCTTTTCCATCAGAATTACGAACCCCCCAAAAATAAAAACAATGTTGATCTCAGACAATCAGCTTTTTCTGTTCTCAGACAGCTCATTGTTACGATTGTAAAGTTCTTTTTGTTCAAGACATTCCGTAAATTTGTGTGTGTGCCTAAAGAAAGGTACCAAAAGTTGCCACTGACCGATTTGAGCTACAGGCTGATAATGACAAAAAATCACTTTTTTTTACCAAAACGTGTTTCCATAAAAAATTGATAGTTCCACCATTTTTTAACAATGTGTTTAACAATGAGAGTTTTCATTGATTTGACTTCTAAATATTCTATCTTGACTTATTTCGTGGGAAGGGCGTGTTTTAAAAAGATAATGGAAACTGCTTTTAAAAGGTGTTAAAATCTATTCTTGAAGCACGTTTTCTTCTCCCTGCTATGTTTTACCATTGAATTCTAATCATGATATTGATGTCAACTGAATGCCGATTTGGAAATGAATTTTCCATGAATAAATACATTAGAACCAATAGAATAATTATGGGGTTTTTTCGAGTTTGTATGTGTACTAAACTTAAAAGCTAATTGTCTTAAATTAGATCTTTATACCCTACCTCGCAAAACGTGCAATGTCTAAAAAATACTTGAGATATCTCAAAAATTAAAAAACCACTGTGTTCAGCATTGAATGTACTATTAGGTACAAACCTTAGCTCAAAATGGTGAAAATCCTACTTTTGGTACCTGTCTTTAGCACATTTGTGTAAATAGAAAGAGTAACACACTTAACACGTATCTTTTGTAAATAATCAGAAGGATCAATAAAAAAAATTTTATTTTTAATGTTTTCTATCTATCTTTTCTACCCTGTCCCTTGATTTTCCTAATGTGATAGTGATTCCTACCATGTTTCGTACTGTGTTTCAGCAAAGGAGCACCTCATTACATCCCTGTCACCGGCATGCATCAGTTTTATCCTTTCGCAACGTGTTTTAGTTCCACACAAACTGGAGGTAATATTTCAAGAGCTTACAAAGTTATATATTTAATTTTTTCCTATGACGTGGCAGTCTCTTTCTTTTTTCCATATATAGTAATCATTGTTCTCTTCTGTGCTAATCAGTTTGATCCCATTATTTTGATTGTTACAGTTTTGTGCTATTTAACCGCTTCACTGCTGCTTGGCGTGCGGTGTGCGTCCATAAATCGGGCCCTCCTATGCGCTGTAGACGTACAGTGTCAGCCCAATAGTATCGCTATTTTGTTTCATTTCCTACTCAGCCGGTAATTGCAATTTAGTATCGAGAGTTGGCTCCCCTGAAAGCTCTTTTCTTCCCAAGTAAGAGAAGCTTTAATTTGCCCTAGTTAGTCAAACAATGACAGACAGAAATAGCGTGAATTATAGCTTCACTGAACAGTCACTCTCTTCACAGTTCTAGCGTCTCACTCTAGCTCCGAGCTATGGCTGATCACTCGCGATGTATGCTCTCAACGTATCAAGCTATCGAAGAAATTTTTGCTGATGATGATAACGGGTCATTAATTTCCCTTTATAATGATATAGACATTGTTATGCATTTGATGCATTACCACTGAGTAAATAACACTTTGAAAGGATCACCCATTTGAGCGCTATTCCTGGAATCAAGGTCAGCATAGGGCGGGGAATATAGGTCAGAAGTGAAGGGGTTAAAGACATATTTTTTAAATTTTGGTGTTTTAGCCTTACATTTGTTTTGTGCACATTCATGTAAATGTGGTTGGTGAGTGCTGTAGTGTGGTTTCTCCTTTCTTAACAAACATCAGTCATTTTTATCTCTCTTCCTTCTTTTCTTTGTGCGTTACTCTCCAGTAACACCTCTAATCTACAGCACTTTTATGACCTATTTGTGTTAAAAGTGCCGTAAAACTCTTACTTCGACTAAAACTGCTTTCAGATAAAAAGATTTTTGTGAAAGATATTTTCGGGACTGTGAGAAAAGTTGTGAAATACCATTGTCTTTAGGGCCGTATGTGGTGCATTGCTTTGGTTCTTTGACTTGTACCTAAAACATGTAAAGTCGTTTTTTTAGGGAAAGTTTTGTTTATTTAAAATATCTCCATCTTTTTCCTTTTATGTTTAAGGCTTGCCAACTTACCCGGGTCTGTACCAGATTTAGCAGTAAGGAATTTGAGAATCTTATGTACACTCCACCAAAACTTGTCTCACGTGATGTCATTTTGTTGGTTGTTACATAATCTGATGCCATGTTGTTGGGTGTCCCTGATTGGGTTTTGAAACACTGGGAAGGCATGATGTTGTACCTCACTTAGTTCAAAGAAAGGGCAAAAAGCAGGCTGTCTACTCATGTGTATGTAGATCTAATGTCAATAGAGGCGTAACATGTTTACTATCATTGCAATTTTTTCCATGTTTTTTTATTTTTTATTTGAAGGTTCTGAAGTCATTAAACATTATGCTTGAGAGTATACCTTTGCGCTCCAAACAAGAACTTTCCAAAAGCAAGGAGCTGTTTGAAGGGATGTAAGTAGTTTGTTTGCTGTTGTTGTTGTTATTGTTGTTGTTGTTGCGATCGAGGGTTCAGTTACCACTTAAATTTCACACTTCTGTTTGCTACTGTAGTGTAGTATACTCTTGTCTCCGGCAGTTGACTGAGTACGTGGTTGGTGCGTGCTTTGGAGTGATATACTCCTTCTTTCCTGTCAAATATCTATTGCCCTTATCTCTTCTCCTTTTTTTTGTGTATGTTACTCTCAAGTAACCACTCTAATCTTCAGCACTTACATGACTTAACTGTGTTCCAAATTCTGTAAAACTTAAAACTCTTAAAACTAAAACTTTTTTGTTGTGGTGTGTGTAGAAATCAATTTAGCATGTGCTTCTATCTTGTTTGAAAATCTACCCCCCCCCCCCTCCAAAAAAAAAAAAACCCCAACAAAAAAACAACTACATAAGTTCAAGGTTTAAGTAATTTGGTCTGACGTTTCTTTCCGTCTGCTGTTACACAATAACTGATACAGTCGAATGTTCTCTAACGGCCACCTGTATAAGACAAGCACCTTTACCAACAGTCACTTCCCACTTATAACTTGAATTTTTTAAAACCTTAAAACGGCACTGTGTAAGACGACCATCTGTCTAAGACAACCTCTTTTCTCCTCGACAATGAGTAGTTAGTAGTCCATCAGTTATGAGAATATAGCATTGACATTTAGTAGATATGTGTAATTAATGTGTGTACAATTTATCCACCATCTTTTCTATCTGTCAGGATGCGGTTGTATTCCTCCATTCCTTCAGCAGGAGGTGAGTGCAATTTTTAGTCTGTCTTAGCTTTTATCAACACCAAAGTAAAAATTATTCTTACTCAATGCACCAGAAAGTTCCAAAGTAATAGTTATTGTACTTGTGTCTGGTGTAATGGTTAAGTGGTTGGTTCTCGCTCAGAGGAGAACCAAATTTGATTCCCGAATGGATAGAGAATTTTTACAGAGTATCTCAGTCTGTCTCTTGGGGATATTGTATTCCTCTCAGCTCTTGTTGACCCAGACAGGCAGGGTTGGAAGCCCTCCTCCTAAATGATCCAATTTGTGTCGATGGGGGCGTAAAAACACATGCATTTAATACAGCTGTAGTTCTTGTACGCCTTTGACTCTGCCAGAATTGTTTTTTTGACATCCAATTAATCAGAATGTTATTGAGTTGTGTGGTTTACTGAAGCTTTCTTTTTGTAATTGAGTATGCAGTAACAATTTTGTATATTGTATCTCGCTTCGAGCTGCTTGAATGTATTTTTTTCTCTTTCTACACAGATTATGAATTTCAAGTCTGCATGATCGAATGCCTTTTCCGCATCTTTCCGAGAAGCACACGCCGTAAGAGCATGTCAGAAATTAATGCTGATAGCAAGTTCCTGGATGACTTCCTCAGTATCAGAGATAGCCACTTTGAAGCAGTAAGTAATTCTTACGATAACCTACTTCTTCTGTGCGTTGCCCTGCTAAATCTGAGGGTTAGTCGACTGCTGGTTCTTCAACCTGCGGTGCAACAGTTTTTTATGTATGTGACTTGTTTTTCTTCGTAGGAACCCTTGCCTTCAGGCAACCACATTATGATTTAAAAGGTACTCTACATTTTTTATACTGACCAGAGTAGTTCAGCAGTGAGTTAGTTTTTGTTTGCGTTAGTTTTGAATTTTGCCTCGGTGGCATTTGAAGCCTATGCTTATCGATTTTAGGACCACCAAGGGATCTTACCCGAGAAGGTTAAGTGTTTAATTTTACCCACCCTAAGATCAGGGGTTGAATGAAAGATGGCAGTAAGAAGAAATTTGGAGTAGTAGTAAAGTGAGACAATGATAAAGGAGAGAGGAGCAGAGAGGATGTGGGGGAGGAAATGAAAGCAGATGACAGAATAGACTTGAGAACACGAAAGAAGGATAAAGGATTTCAGAGAAGAAAATCTTTTTGCCAAAGGCAAGTGTCAATCCCAAGACCTTTTGACGGAGAGGGGAACACCATACGCCATACCTCTAGACTGCAAAAGCCCCCCTCAAATTAATGATAATGGCAGGCTTGCCAACTGTCCCAAATTTCCTTGGACTGTCCTGGATCTAATTAGGAATTTGAGAAGACATAACATACACTACATCAAAAACAGTCCCAGCTGATGTTATTTTGTTTGTTTGTAGTTGTTTGATGTTATAACATTGGGTGTTTGTGATTGGGTGTAAGAAAAAGTAGGCAAGCCTGTAATGGTAAAGCAGGTCCACAGACTTAGTTTATGTACCAATTTCCTCAAATATCCTAAACCTTGATATATAATATAATGATATATTAATTAGAGATTGATATTTTCATTAAAAAGTGCCACATCTTAATTAGACATTGGCAGTCATGGTTTTCCTTTCATTTCTCAGATGAAATTCTCTCAAAAATTCTATATTATCCGAGTGTTTCTCATCTACCGTCTTTTTGGTTTTTCCAAATAAATTTCTTTGGGTCTGCATCGTTTTCCTTATATCTTTTCTCTCTCTCTCTTCTCTTGCCCTTTTTAACTCCCAGTGGAGCTCAGGCCATCAACAGCATTACTCCAGCGAAGCCTGTCCTGAGCATCCTTTTCTATATGTTTCCATGATGTCCCCGCTTTTTCAATTTCTGCTTGTACCGCTCGCCTCCATGTCATCTATGGTCTTCCCTTCTTACGTTTTATATCTTTTCAGTGAGAGCAAAATGTTCAAAGTCCTTAAGTTGAGTCTAGTTTCCCAGAAACTCCACTTTTCGCTTCCTAATAAGATTGACATATTAATACAAAATGTTCTTTGTAGATTTTTGTCTCATGTATCAAAAAGAAAGAAATAGAATGTATTGTATCTTTCTGTTGTAATACTAAAAGTATCACAGTGACAAGGTGGTCGTTTCTCTCTTTCATAAATTTATTTTATGAGCATAAATCTATTTTTGGTTAGAGGTTTCACAGAGTGTTCAACTTTCATTTTAGGACTGCCGGGTTTTTCTTAACAAAGTGAACGCGCTGAGTACTACTTCCTTGAAGCGGTAGTTATTCTTCTGTTCAAGTTGTTTTGCTTTTAAAAAAAAGTAGATTTCCCTTCTGATTTTTTCATTTCACACTTGTTTATTTTTCCCAAACTTTTCAATTTTGTATTTTGAATTCAAATATTTGTTGTCTCTGAAGTTTGTTGTTCATTTTTTACACAAGTTTGCACTGCTTTTATTTTGAAAGCAATTTTTTCATACATGTACCCCAATTAGGTAGGTAGTTTGTTAAGCCACTGATCCATGTTACATGGCATACACATTTTACAGAGAAGAGACACTTTCGAAACAGTAGAAATTATATATAAATGGCGCACAAATCATTAAAATTTAAAGAAAAATGTTTAAATGTGCCTCAGAAGTATCTTTAAGGCCATTAGAATTTGGAACATGTTTGTATATGAGAAAACCCTCACTAAGTTGAAATTTGTTCTTGTCGATAAAGAATATTGAACAGGATATTTAACATTAAATAAATTGCTATTGAAATTTAAACATTTTCCTATAGAATTTTGAAGATATGTTACTTGTAAAATGTATCAGATAGCAGGATGCAAAATAAAGTCATGAAAAGAAGACATTCAACTTTTCTTGATTTGTCTTGGTCCCTGTGAAAAGGTGCAATTTTGAACTGTGTTAGAGAAGTCTATCTAAAGATACCAACCTGCAAACAGAATGTGTCAGCTTTTCTCTTTATTACTGTTTCCATGCTTTTTGTCTATCATTTGAAAGTGCTCATTGTGGGTTAAAAACAAAACCTTCCCAAATTATCCTTTCTTGTTTTACATCCTAGGGTGCATTCGGTTCCTGCCAAATATGTGACACTTGACGGAGAAAAGGTACGGTTTTTCTTGTACTTGTAAATGAATTTTGTCACAATTATCAGGTTGTTAGTTTGCGGGAAGAGAAAGAATGCCTTTGCTATATTTTAAAGGGATTTACTCTCTAGTATAATGTTGGCAAAGAATGACTTTGCTGTATTTTAGATGGATTTACTCTCTAGTGTAATGAAGACAAAGAATCAGTTTACTATGTTTAAGACAGATTTACTCTGTTGTATAGCGAAGACAACTTTTTAGAATTTTCTTCGATTTCATTATTTTGACGAATGCCTGATTACACCACGATGCCACACATATTCACGAAAATCCCAGTGGCATCCCCGCTTAGTGTAATGTTCCTTCAACCTGTCCAGATATTCCTCACCAGCTTTTTGACTCTATCTTTTCCTAGGTTTACAAACCTGCTGATGAAGGTTACGATGACTTCTGGGTCGATTTTAACACAGGAAGTAAACGAGTCAGCATATTTTGTGAACCCACACTTTTGTCATCACAGGTAAGCCAATATGTGTGTGTGTTTGAGAGACAGACAGACAAACAGACAGAGAGAGAGAATATACGTGTGTGTATGTGTTGCCATTTGTGTGTGTTGAATTTACCATGCTGCAGCAAATTTCTCTTTACTGAAAACATTAGATTCTCATCTTATCTTGGGCGCTAAGTTAGCTCAACTGGTATCATGCTGGACTATGAAGCTGATGGCCCTGGTTTGAATCCCAGGCTGGATGTTTTAAAAATCAGGTAGTTATGTGGAGTTTTCAGAGCTTTCTACCCATCTTGCTCACTCGGATCAGAAACAGATGTGAAATCCAGAGGCCCTGTCTCTTAAATAATGTATTGGTGTTGATAAGGGCATTAAACCCATACACTTTAAACTTAATCCCATCTTCTTATTTATCTTATCAGTAGTTATTCCACAGGAAGCTGAAGGTTTTGTATTTTAGCCTTGATCTAAACAAACTTTTGTATTTCAATACAGAAAGATAATAAGTGGGTGGTTGGCGGGTACCCTGGTGTCCTATCAATCACCTATCCTCTTTGTCTCTCCTTGTTCTTCTTTTGTATGTTACTCTCTAGGCTCACCTCTAATCTTCGGCACTTACATTACCTTGTTACGTTTTAAGTGGCTTAAGATGAGAAGCTATGAAAATCTAGAGCAACCCCGACTTCAAAGACAGGTTATGATCTTTAGTATAATGAGTAAGCCTTTGCTGTACATAAAGAGTTGTATGGAAAACAGGTGTTATCATAAACTAGAAATCATGAGGGTATCAATTTTAAAAGCTTTTAGACTCATAAATTCTTTTTTTGTTTAATTGGTGGTTTATTGTTATTGTTAGTTGAATGAGAAGTCAATCATTAGTAGTCAATGAACAGTTGAACAGAAATGCAGTTTTGAGTATACAAACTCACAAATTACAGTTTTTGATGACTCTAGTTTTCCCATCTAACCTTCACATGTGGTTTTATAGTGTTGTCATAAAATGTTTGTGCTTGCATAAGTTCTACAATATTTGTAGAATGATAATGTTTCTATTGGCCTCGTGGCTTCTTTCCAATACAATCAAATCTATTCTAATAGTCACCTGTAATAGACAGTCACCTGTGCAAATGGCCTCCTCCCATTTCCTCCTTTTTTTTACATTTTAATGGCACTGTATGAGACATTCACTTTTCTCTTTGACAATAGGTAGCTGACATAGACTCTTTTGACTGTATTTGATTTACAGAGAACCTTCTCTTTCCTCACAGGCCACCCAAACCCAAGGGGAACAACTGTGGGAGACGATATCTCTGTGGAAAAATGACATTAGCAGATACGAAATGTCAAGTGTGTACCTCACATCTTCTTAAGTGCTCCTCATTGTCTGCATAACTATTTTGAAATAGCATTCTTTCAAAATTTGAATTCTATTTTATTAGAAAACTAGTCATAGTTTCACTTTGATGTTTTTTTCACACAAGTAGGGTAACTGATCAGGCTTTTGATTTTGCAAATGAAAATATTTGGCGCCCAAAATTTTAAAAAGGCATTTTGTCAGCTTATAGCAGTACTGTGGTGTCGGCTTAGGTTGCTGTTTGGCAGAGGTTGCTCTTATCTGGGTTGCTGTTTAGTGGACACCGCTGTGCTTGTTTCCTACTCATTGATAGACCCTATATTCCCTGACTTTCTCCTGGCTTGTCTTAATGCATTGCAGCTGTTGAGGAGACTCCAGTTGATCACTTTTGTCTGTCTGCATTAAGAAAATTCTAACTCGTTTATTAATTTTGAAATGCTCATGAAATTATGTGGCATAATGGTTAATACCATACATTGGACTGTTTTATGATTTATCCTTTTGTAGTTTTGATTTTTCGTTGACCTAAAATTTCTTTTATATCTTTTACTTCTGAATTGACTTAAATGAGATTGTCCATTCTTAGATTCTAGGTAAAATAAACATCTCTAAAATCCTCAGTCACACATTTTTAAAAACCTCAGTCACAGAAGACATTATGAAATCCTCAGCCACAGACATGCCACATATCCATAAACCCATCAGCCACACTACATTTCACTGTTTGGTAATGCTGTTCCCCCCCCCTCAGAGACGTCCAAGCTGAACAAGGTGACCGTGGAGCTGTGTGTCGGAGCCCAGCTACTCTCTAACAGTAACAGGGTCGTGGATGAACAAGCCCATCTAGTGGTCATTGCTACGGAGGCCGAGGCAAACCTTTCACTCTTCATGGAAGCCATCATGAAAGTCGAGGTAAAATAAGATGATAATGATAATAGTAATGATGATAATAATGAGAATTTACTTATCAATTAACCCCTAGATGCGGAATTATCACTCGATATTATTGACTAATCAAAGGAAAGAAAATGCACATTGTGAAACCATTTAACGACACACACACACACACACACACACACACACACACACACACACACACACACATGCACACAGCCACTCACACACACATATACACGCACACGCACAAATACACAGCTCCCTGACCCACACACATTCTCACGTACAAATTAACTTGCAGATTTTGAATGAATAAAATTCAGCCAAAGGGACAATTTGTGCCATGACGTGGTGGAACCGGGCGCTCATCAATTTTTGGGCATATGACGTTCGTATTATCGTTAAGCTTGTTCATTTATCTTGCTTTTGATGAAAAAAATATCCAACTATCTTGAATGGAAGTCAAGATATTTTCGATTGAAGGTGTTGGGTGAGGAGGGGCTTTGTGTCTAAAGTAAAATTATGGTGGGAAAATGTGATGACTTCCAAATATTGAGTGTCCTTGAAAGCTGCATATTTATGATTTGTGTGCCTTTGATCAACATGTTTCAGTAATATTTATACAGAAATGTGTCTTTAGAGAGATATAAAAGGTTTCAAGCCTATGAAAATAATTTTATAAAAATTGCTAAAAAGGGGCAGAAAAATGTCGGTTTCTTCGATTTCATTATTTTGACGAGCGCTTGATTTCTCCATGATGACATTCGACATGTGGAATCTGTTGTACAGGGTGTTAAAAAAAAGGAGGGGGGAGAAGGTTCCAATTTAAGGGCAATAACCCAGTCGTCTTTGCACCAATTTCAACAAAACTCTGAACCAGTAAAATTCAAGTAAGAAGACGATATGTGTCAATCAGGCACTCATCAATTTTTGGACATATGGAGTTATTGGATTGGTATCATTGTAAAGCTTTGTTAATCATTTTGACAGGATACCTCACATATTTATATTAGTGGACAAGAACATTTTCATCTGACAGTTTGCAGTAGTTATTAATTTTTTCCCCTTTCTTTTCCTTCAGCAGCAGCAGTACCGAACATCCACTGTGCTGGAACCTATCCTCATTGAAAATAGATCAGAGGTAAAACTGTCAACTGCACTTGCATAGCTGCCAACCAGTATGGCAAAAAAGTATTTCATACATTTTTGGGGGTCTGAGTAGGAGTCCGTTTTCATTTAGGAAAATAAATATTTTTCAGTTTTCTAGTATTGCTTCTCAAGACTTGCCAATACTTTAAAAAATGTTTAACTTTCTTGATTGGATTTGCGAATGATAATGAGAACAAAGATCATTAGTAAATTTTTGGTCAATTGAAAAGCCTTCTTTCTGCAGATCTGCTTTGAATAGCTTGAATTAATTGAATGTAGAAAAGTGTGTGAAGGGTTTGGTGGTGGGGTCAATAGGCCTATGCCAATGGTATTGACCCGTTGTGTGCGTAGAGTCTGTTGTTTTTGGTTTTGATTAGTTGGCAGCTATGCACATGTTCCTAAATATTTTTGTATCTTAAGTTGCTATATTGCACTGCACTGTATGCTTCCCTGGAAAATGAGATTGTTTCAGAATGCTATCCTGTCTGCTAGGGTAATAATATAGATTATAAAGCACAAAGATCTTACTGTTGAATGGGAATTTGCGCCATAGAAATGCTAAAAAGCTATTTAATATAATTATTTAATTATTAAAATTTTTAAGACTTTCATGTGTCAAATACTTTTAAAAATTGTTTCATTGTCTTCTTGTTTTTCAGTGGTTTGGGCCAGTAATAGCTTGAAAAAAAATGTTATTGTGAAAAATGTCTTTTTTCGTAATATCTAAAAGAGAAGTGCATTGTAAATAGCAGCTCATGACAAAACCGTAAAATTTGTTGCCAACGGTATAGTAAGAACTTTAAATATCCTTACATTATTTTTCAAGAGGGAAGCCAGTGAACTCTGCATATCCTCAAATAGAAATAAAGCTTTTAAATGCTCAAAATATTGCATACACTTCTCTGCCAGAATTGGTCTCATTGGTCGTAGCAGAAGCCACAAGTCATCTTAACCTTTATTTCTTTTAGTTTTTCTTTAAGAAATATGCAGACGCATTGGTCATAGTATAGTTTGACATTGGTAGGCAAACTGTCATTATTATTATTATTATTAGGCCTTATTATTACTATTATTTATTATTAGTGTAGTAATTATTATTAATATGATGGTGATTATTATTATTATTGTTTCCCTGTTAGGAGGCAAGTCAAAACAGCCATGGCAGTTTCACAAAGGTGTCAGTTCCCTGTGAGCCAATGATGTCCCCAGCTAGTTCTCTCACGTCGGGCACTTTGAGCATGTGGAAAGTGCTGGCAGCCCAATGCACGGGGAAGACAAAACAGTCAGCTCACAGGACTAAGGAGATGGAGGAAAATAATGATGAAGCTGAAAGTCCTTCTTTGCAACCATGTAGTGAAAGAAATACAAATTCTCATAATGAGAGAAATGAACAAGCCGGCAGTGGGAAAAATAAGGAGCTTTATCATGAGAAGAAGAAATTTTGTCAAGGGGGAAAAGGGAAAGAATTGTTGGAAAAAAGGAATCAAGAAAAAACTGGGAGTGGGATTGATGGTGTCGTACATCTTGGAGATCAAAGCGTAGATGCACCAACTGCAAGCAAGTTGTCTGGTAAAGAAAAGGTTGCCAAAATAAACAGTATGGATGATACAGGTTCAGTGGCTACAAGCAAGTTGTCTGGTAAGAAGAAGAATTCTGCTGCAGTAAACAGTAAGGACGTTACAAGTGCAGCAGCCACATGCAAGATATCTGGTAAAGAAAAGAATGTTGCTGCAGTTAACAGTAAGGACGTTACGAGTGCTGTGGCAAAACCCCAAAGCAAGGTGAAGGCCAGCATAAAGTACACAGACATGACCCAGCACCGGATGGATGCCCGAGCCAGCGACGGTTGCACTGATGTCTCACAACTGAATGCTCTGATCGAGGAAGGAGGGGACAACAATTTGTCTTTGCGGAGGTCTCAGAGGGGAAGGAACAGCCAGGAAATCTCTGTCACATCCAAGCTCATGGATTCAGCATGCTCGGTAAACGTTGCTGGAAAAGATACGGATCATTTGTCGGTGGATGAAACTCAAAGGAAGACTTCTTGCTCTTTGGAGGTCAGCAATAAAATTGCTTCAGATACTACAAAGAGCACAAAAAGCAAGAAAAAAAAGACCAAAGGTAGATATATAATATAGTTTCCTTTTCGTTTTTAGATTCCGTCAAATCTGTCCAAAACAAACACTTTTATAAATGACCTCTTCCCACTTCCCCTCTTGTGTTTTTAAAAGATATTATGACACTGTTTAAGATGTCCACATGTTAAAGACAACCACTTTTTTCCTCGACAATGGATGGCAGTCTGAGAAAATTTCGATTGAACGCTTCATAGTTAGTTCTGAAGAGCTGACTGCACTGCTGACAGTCAAAAGCTCCTCTGATCGGACTCTGGTGTAAGAACATCTGGAGAGAATGCATTTCTGTTTCGGGCTCTTCCCATCTACAGCTATAATGACGCACCAAGCCCCCTCACTGAATGTGAAGCCTTCCTGCCTGCTCCACTGTCTTTGCTGTCAACAATCAGTTCTTACTCCAGCTGTTGTTATTTCTCTTCAACCAGATCTGGTGACCCACTTTTTCAACAGCCTGCTGTACAGCTTTTATCATTGTATTCCCTTTCCTCAAACCAAGTCCAGCTACTCTCATCCATTTCCTCTCTCCCTTACTCCTGACTCTTCCTATTGCTACTACTGGCTCTTTCTTGCTGCTGTCTTTCAGCCACACTTTTTATCTTGTGGTAGGTAAGACTGAACACCTAGCCTTCTCATATAAGGGCGAAAAATCTCAGCGGTCTTGTGTGCCAGTTGCGTACGTTAAAGATACTTAAGTGGTCCCAATAAGAGTAGGCTTCAGCCGTCACCTGGGCAAAACTCAAAATGAATTCCAACCAAAACTGAAAATACTCTAATCAGTATAATAAACATGCTAGAGTACCTTCAAAATTGGAATACGGCTGCCTGCAGGCAAGAACCCCTACAAAGTAGGAAAAACAGTTGCACACGTAAAAATCATTGCACTTCAAGTTGAAGGACCCTGAGATCTAGCAGGGGAACAAAAAGAAGAAGTCACCCCCATTGACACAATTTAGATCAATTTGGACTCAGGCTTCCAATTTTGCCTGTCAGAGTCAACCTGGGCTGAGAGGGATACATCGGACCATCTCTGCAGAAGGCTCGAGATGCTCCAAAAAATTATCTCCACTCAGGATTCGAACTCGGGTCTCCTGCGTGTGACAGCAAAGTATCTAACCGCAACACTGCAAATGCTAGTGTGTTTTTAATGTGTGTGCGTGTGTGTGGTTGGTGGGTGCTCTGGTGTGGTTTGCTCCTTCTTTCCCATCAAACATCTATCATCCTCCTTTTCTTTGTCTTTTACTTCTGGAAAAACCTCTATTCTTCGGCATTTATATGACCTTATTTTGGTTCAAGTGCTTCAAAACTTAACAAAAATTAAAGTGTTTCTGATTCATTTCCTGTCTTCTATTGCTCCGACTATTCAGAACAACTGCCTCCTCCCAAAACTCCTCCTGTGAAAAGAGCAGGACAGAAAGTCAAGACTCCAGTGGTCACTTTGCAAAGTCCTCTTGGCAAGGAGAAGAGGAAGAAACTGCATGATGCCAGTACGGTTGTTTCTATACATTGTTTGTACAATCTTTCTGATATTTGATTTGTTTGAGTTTTTGCCTCCAGCTTTTCTTTGCTTTTTAAGGCGGGCAGCTTCATAGACAAAATTTGGTAAGAAAAAAAGTAGCTTTTTTTAGACTGCTTTGTCTCCATTAATAATAGTTGATTATACTCTAATGGCCACCTATATAAGATATTCAAATCTGTGCAAATGGCTTCTTCCCATTCCCCCCCCCCCCTTTTTTTTTTTAAAACATTGCAGTGACACATGTGAGACATCCACCTGTCTGAGACAGCCACTTTCCTCCTCCCCAGCAACATTTGGTTGTCTTAGACAATTTCAACTTATTATAAGCAAAAGATGGCATTTTTGTAGTGCATATCCCCGCTCAACAGCAAGCTCTATGAGCTTTACAATTTATATTATATCTACATTCATAGGAGGTATCCTTATAGTATGTAGATAAAAGTAAAAGTAAGGACCTTTGTGTGAGAAATACTGTTAAAATTATCTAAGATGGCCACCCTTTGTCGAGGAGAAAAGTTGCCGTATTTGACATATATAGCCATTTGCATAGCTGATAGTCTTATCAGGTGGCCTTTAGAGCAGGTTCAATTGTACTTAATAAATGAAAGCATTAGTGTGAGAAACATTTGCTCCCTGTACGTATGGAATGATCAGACTATAGTAACTTTTCTCTTCATAGTCTCATAAAGTTGAAAAGTCTTATTTGTAGATTCTCTTATGTGCTTTTTATAGAGATAGATTCTGTCTATGGCCGAATGTGTCATGAGTTCAGACTCAAAGTAATGTCAAGCAAGTGTTGGTCACATAGGGTTTAGATGGGCAGGCACTGGGGTGTGTCCTTGAGCAAGACAAGATAACCCTAGCTCAAAAAACAGGGTGCTGCACATTGACTACCAGCCATAGCATATTTGTGAAATTGTTCTGCACTGGTTTAATATTGTGTATTTGGTATTCTTTGTATATATATTTGTGTGTTTAATCATATATTTATGTATGCATGTATTCTTTGTATGTATGTGTATTACGACGTGGTGGAATCGGATGCTCGTCAATTTTTGTGCAAGTGGGGTTATTGATATCATCTTAAAGCCTGTTTATTGGCCTCCCTTTTGGTGAAAAAAATATCCATCTATGCTGAATAGAAGTCTAAATATTTGCGATTGAAAGAGGTCAGGGTCACCTGGTTTCAGAGGTAAATTTAGCGAGAAAATGGCAGCCAAAGTTTGGGAACTTCCATAGTCTGAGACTCCTTTGAAAAAACGGAAAATTTACATTTTTTGTGCCTCTAATCACTTTTTATCTGTAAGATTCTCACTAAAATATGTTTTTAAATGGACAGAAAACATGTTGAGCCAAAAAAAGAAAATTAGAAAAATATGTTCATCAGCCAAAAAAATGCATATTTCCTTGATAGGAAAAAATGTCCATCTGCCAAAAAAATGCCTATTTCCTTGATAGAAAAAAATGTCCATCGGCCTATTTCCTTGATTTCAATATTTTGACGAGAGCCTGATTTCACCATGATGCCTCATATATTTGTGTGTTTAATCATGTATTTATGCATGCTTGTTTGCCATTGAAATCCAAGTTTTGTTTTTAAAATTTACTGCTTTATAGAGTACTTTGTGAAACTTCTGGGGGGTTTTTTCTAACAAAAGATTTCAATTTTTCTCTACAGGTGACCAAACGGTAGCTCCTATAGATGTTATTCCTTCGTCATGCATGGAGTTTGAGTTTGCGGAAAGGTAAAGTTTCTAATTTCTACCGACTGCTTTTTTTCTTTCAGGTAATTCTTAGCAAATACTGGCGGGTTCCTTTTTATACCAGTACGTAGCTGCCGACCTGTACAAAAGAAACATTTAATATGTCTTTAAGGGTGTTGGTACAGCAGTAATTTTTTTGTGTTGAAAAAATGTATTCTCAGTTTACTAGTATTGCTCTTCATGGACTTGCCCATGCTGGATTTGTGAATAGTATAGGGATCAAAGCCGGAAACAGATTGGAGAGATCTTTTGATTTAGGTTTAGCTTTAGGTTTACCTTGAATAGCTTGAATTTATTGAATGCTGGAAAGTGTGTTTACAAAGTTTTGAGAGGGCTATTGGCCGATGCCCACCATCTTGACTGGCGGAGTTAAGGAATCTGTTTCTTTTTTGTTATGAAAAGTTGGCAGCTATGCCAGTCACAAGGAGGTGACGTGAAGTTGTGTCCCACTGCTTTCATGGGAGTTTTATACCTTCTGTGACCAGTCCTGTCTAAAATTGCTGTACTGTGAGCATGTCTCTTGTTGTTTTCCCAAGTTATATATCATCAGCCGGCTGTTAAATGTACTAAGCCCATTTAAGAAAAATATTTTCAGTTGCAGTTTATTTGTGGTATCACTTGCATGTGTTTAGCCCTATCAGTTCGTCGTGTTTTACTATCATATCAATATGATGTGGGGAACTCTGTGCCACCACTTTCCAAAGAGGAAATTTACTCGTTAATCCGATCCATATGCTTTGCTTAGCAGTCTGTCAAAATTTTTTTGGGAGAAATACTGAAAGTTTCAAAGAGATCTTCGTACTACAAGTATTTTAAAATGTGAAGAATAGAACCCTGGGGGTACAAAATGACCCCAGGGCGTAGGGATAGGGTTAGGAAATATTTTGTCTAAATCAAAGTTCTTAATGTTGTAATGAAGCTCACAAAAAATATAATAATGTAAGTACAAATGTTAAAATAATGAAACAATTTTTTTTCTTGCTCGTAAAATTTTGCTTTCTGTATCTCTGCTTCCAGAGTTTCTTCTGCTCCGCCGAGAAGAACAAGTTCCAAAGAAGTGGTTGCTGAACATATGGTAGGAATAGTAGCTGACTCGTGAAATCCAAGTAGTAGAGTCACTCAATTCATGGCATACCTCTTTCATAGCTGCCGACCAATACTTTAAAAAAAACATACGTTTTGAGGGGTCTGAGTACGTAAGTCAGCTCTGTTTTCTAGTAGTGCTCCTCATAGACTTGCCATGCTTTAGAAAAGTTATACACTTTTCCAGACCTGATTTTGCGAATAATAATGAAAAAGAAGCCCATATAAGTCTATTTTAACTGTGTGAACTACTGATCATAAGTACTGAATGCAGAGAAATGTTTGTGAAGAGTTTGGAAGAGGGTTACTTGTTCAATGCTCACCATTTAACCCGCCTTTTGGGTGAAGTCTGGTTTTTATGGTTTTGAAAAGTTGGCAGCTATAGTTTTGTTCTTAAGATATTTTGATTTATAGAATGGTTATGTGAATGAAATTTCATTGGGTTTTTTAGCGACATCCAAGCTATGTGCAAGCTACATAATCCAGACTTGACTGATTGATCAAAGTAAAAACACAATTGGCTTGGTCATAGCCTTGATTCTTATAAGTGAATGTGAGGCATCATGGTGAAACCAGGCGCTCTTCCAAATAGCGAAATGTGAGAAACAGGCACTTTTCTGCCAGTTAAGCTATTTTTATCGAATTTTTGTTTTTTGGCACAAAACGTTTTACTTATATGTCTATACAAAGACATATTTCCATGTGAATTTTACTGAAAAAGTTGATTAAAAGCGCGAAATATGTCATTTTTCAGTTTTCAAGGACTTTTTAGCTATTGGAGTACCCAAACTTGGTGGCCATTTTCTCGCTTATTTCACTACTGAAACCAGGCGACCTTGCCTCCTTCAATCGCAAATAATTTGACTTCTATTCAAGATAGATGCATATTTTTAAAATTGAAAGCAGAACAAGTGAATGAGCTTTCAGATGTTATCAATGACTCCACATGCCCGAAAATTTACAAGTGCCTGATTCCACCGCGCTGTGACACAAATGTATTCTGTCAAGAATATTGAATTCTCCTGGTTCCAGAAGCTGAACAGTTTAAGGTTGTTTTCCAAAGCAAGGAACATTTCAAAGCTTCACCATCTCTCTCTCTCTCTCTTTCACAGAAGTATAGTATTATATATAGACTGCTCTGCTGCTCGACTGCATTGTATGTCACTTTTTAAAATGACGTATGGCAGTCTTTCACTAAGCAGTCGTACTCTGTTTACTCTGTCCGTCTTTTTCTTGTAGTTGCACACGAGCACAGTTTAATTCTGAGTTGATGTTTTTAATTTTTGATCTCATGTTAGGCTTTCCCTCTTTTTTTATCTTTTTTTCTAGATACAAGAGCCAACAGTTTCTAGTTATTATGAAGGTGAGTGGTAAACACAGGATAATGTGGCTTTTTTTAGAGTATCGGAGCAAAGTAGTGAATGCAGAACTATGATCACTGATGTCTCTTGCAGATATGGCACTTGATGATGATATACAAAATTTCTGTGAAAAAGTTTTTCACTTAGTGAATCTGGCAACGAAAATCCGAGTACTAAAAAATAGTGAGTTCAATAAAAACTCACAGTCACAATAGAGTCTTCTGTAATGACTATAAACAAACAATAACATGTTATTGTTCTACATTTTGTCTCTTTCCCTCCCTCCCATCACATACATGTACAAAAGAATAATGATTCAATATTTGAGGATACACTTATAGTAGAGGTGTGCGATTTGAATTTGCGAATTTCGTGACTAGTAAATAAATTCACGAATTGAGGTCATTCAGGTCTTTCAGGAAATGTCAAAAGGGGTGCTATTGCATTGAGTTCCTTAACACAGTGTGACTCAAGTTGCAAATTAAAAACTGGCATAAAAGGAAACGGGCAAACCATAAAAGGAGGGCGTGAAAAAAAAACTTGGCATAGAGTACTGATTGTTATCTCAATTTGCTTGTTCCAGAGAGTCTGGCAGACAGGAGGAAACAAAGTGGGAGTGACGTTGTAGCAGATGTGGGTGATGTCATCGCTGGAGACACTCACAAACATTACAGTCCTGGCAACTTGTCTGTGGAAGAGTTTAAGCCAGTGAAGTCGTTTAAGTCGCTCAGAGGCAGAACAATGAACCCACATGGACTGAATGAGAGCAATACTCAGAAAGACAAATCACGGAAAAAGTCAAAGAGAACTGAACAAAGAACAAAGACCCTTGCTAGTAAAGTCAGTCATGAATTACCCCGAGAAGTGAGTACAGGAACTCTTCATGGTTTGATTCCTTCTCTCAAGGAAGTAAACCAGAAGTTTGACAGGAAAAAAGGACAGGAAGAGTGTGCTGCAGTTGAGAAGGGAGATGTTGTAAGTGACACGGAGCTCAACCTCTGTGCGGAGCAGGATGCAGAAATTGGGAGTCCAGCAGCGCTTGACAAAAGCAAAGGAGACTCACAGAGTTCTAACTCTGGCTACCTGTACATAGAAGTGGAGCGCAGTAACGTTGCGGGGACACAAGCCGACATGGTCGCAGAAACCCAGGTTGTGCCTCAGGAGGTGCTTGAGCCTTCCACACAGACAACCATTTCACAGCCTGAGGGAAGGGAAAAGACCTCCAGGAAATATTCATTGAACAAAATCTCAGAGAAGTTTGAAGATGAAGCGACTGTCCTTAAATCCAAGACAATGCCCAGTGAGTTTTGTTCTACCAAGATTTCTCAAATCAAGGACGGAGATAGTTCCCATCAAATTAATCCTAGATTCTTTGAGAAGACCACGTCTCAGAAGAAAGCAGGGGAAGGTTTTGGAAATTTGTCTAAGACGAGCCCAGGGCGACAAATCTCCAGCAGTATAAGCTGTAGCTATGTCTGTGGGAAGCTGGTGACCAAGAAAAAGAACCCCAATCATTCTGACAATACAAAAGCCCATGCTAAGACAACAGCTAAAGGCGCCTCACAGAAACAAACACTCTTTAACAAGCGTGGAGACACACAGAAAAGTAAAAGTCCTCTAGCAGAACAGGATTCTGAGGTAAGCTCAGCAACATCTCTGTATGGTGACCCCTGTGAAAATGTTGACAAAATGCCTGAGTCTACTTTTGCCAACAGTAGATCTCAAGCCAGTAGTAAGAAAGCAAAGATTGACGACAACGAAAAAGAGGAAATGAAGAAAAACAAAGAGAAGAAAATAGATGGGAAGGAACGACAAATTTTGAATGAGACTTGCGATAATCCCCACAAGTTCAATCTTCGACCCCGAAATAAAACAGTTTGCTATGAAGAGAGTAATACTTCCACTGATAAAAGCTCAGTTCTGGAGAATTCTGTACTGAGCAAAGGGTCGGTCGTTAAAAAGTCGAGGCAGTGTGAAGATAAAGCCCCGTGGAGAGAAAGTTTGAACTATGCAGCATGCAGTCCTGCTCTTGGCAAACAGTTGAAAAACGGTGCCAATAATGTCAAAATGAGCAAGGTTGGAATACGTGAAGGTGGGGGGAGCCACACTGCAGATGTAGATATGTCCACGTCAGATTCGCGTACTCCAAACAAGTTGCTGAAACACAGCGGCCACAAATACCACAGTGTATGGAGGAAGCAAACGGTGACCACGTACACCAGCGTCTCCCAGGACAGTTGGAGGGCCGATCCTTACGACTTTGAGGCCAGTTGTAATGTTGTCTCGTCTCCATCCCATAGAGAGAGCTACTCGGCACCTAAAGGGGCTCCTTACTTTACATCTCTCAGTCCTTTGGATGGTAACTCCAGTAAAATATGTAATAAGAACAGTAAGTCCACCAGTAGGAAAGATGGAATGAAAGCTACTAAAGGTTGTCATAGCAACAGTCAGCGTCTCACCGTGGTAAACAAAACAAAGTCTTTCCATTACCAAAAGTCGAGGCCCACTCACACGTCCCGTGAGGCAACAAGAACACAAAAGTCGGTGAGTTCAGCCAGAAATAAAGTGGGGAAGAAGCAGCTCAAAGAGAACAAATCCCCTGCCACCAATCTGGACGTCTCTCAGAGAACTCCCCGCCACGGACTCTTCTCCAGTCAGGTTTGTGCTTGTACAAGATTTGCACCATATGTGTGTGTGCCTAGGTGTGTCTGTATGTGTGTGGATATTTTAATACATGAGTGGCATTGTGGTGAAATCAGGTGGTCGTCATAATATCGAAATCAAAGAAACTGACATTTTTCTGTCGATTGGGCTATTTTTGTTAATTTTCTTTTTTCTTGGGGTGGGGTGGGGGGCACACTGTGGGGGGCCCTCAGCACCTTTTTTTTCCGCTAAAAACCACAATTCTGTGTGGACATAATGGAAGGAAAAATGTTGACCTAAGTCACAAAAAAATGTAATTTACAGTTTCAAAGGACACTCAAGCTTTGGAAGTCGCCAAACTTTGGCGGTCATTTTCTCACTAATTTTTTCTCTGACACCAGGTGACACCTCTTCCTTCAATTGCAAATATCTTGAAAATACATAAGTGAAACTTGCTTAATCTAATCGTTTTCTTGATCATTGCAGATGGATGTGTATGAGTGCAGCAGTGGTCTGGTGTTCCCTCCGCTTGAGGACTCAATTCCTTGCACGCCTTACATGGATGAAGAGGAGGAGGAGGGGGTTGAAGAACCGGTAGACAAGCAAAGAGCTCCAGATAAAGATTGTGATGAGCAGTCCATGGGAAGTTTGTATGATCGCAAGTCAGTAGGGTAAGTTAATTGCATAGTCTCTTTTGATTTAGTTTTTAGTTTTAGTAAGAGTCGTGTAGCACTTGCAACACAATCAGGTCACAATGCTGAAGTGTAGAGGTGTTACTAGAGAGAAATGCACAAATGAAAGGACAAATAAGGACAATAGATGTTTTAGAGGAAAGAAGGAGCAATGTGCCAAACACTCACATAGTCTCTTTTGAACTTTATAGTTACAGAGGAGGTAGCAAAGGATTTCTTTGGTTTTGAATGAGATGAATCAGTTGCAACTATTCTGAACCTACTCTTAATATGTTGAAGTTCGGAATGTCTCGTGGGCAAAAGCGAATCATAACTTGAAAAAGTAGCAATACACAGTCGACATCGACAATACTAACTTTAACATGACCTTGTACTGACTATAGCTAACACATCACTGGCACAACATTATAGATAATCAGATGGTGTAATTTTGATAGGATATGAGCAAGAAGAATGAATAATTACCTTGAATAAGCAAAGCTTGAACAATTTAAAACATCAAGTAAAATTCTACTTTAGCATCATGAGAACAGACTGATATATTAAGTAGAAATGATGTATGATGTCTCAATGTTTGTATCCCATCCAAACAATGATGATGCGAGTTTTCTCATGTCTAATTAGTCCATTTTTATTTTATATCTCAGTCCCACTAGCATGTAAGGGCTCTTGGCCTTCTGTAGTTCACATACTTCATGTCTGCCACTTGCAAAAGGAAAGTAATAGTCTTTTAATGCAAGAAAACTTTTCCTCGTGTTCTGTCATGAAATTTATTTTTCTTGTCTTATCTTTTCTCATCCACACGTACATATATATATATATATATGGTAATGTAATGAAAAAATTTTGCAACTTAACAGAACATGCAGTGAACTGAGTTGGATTGCCAAATGCAAGAAGCAAGACAATCAAGTACAAGGAAAAACGTACCAGAGGGATCCTGTGGACAGGAATATGGAACAGGTTAGAAAATTCCCAATTGTGTATACATTGGTCAGAAGTTATTTATTTGCCCAAAATTAAGGATATCGTGTTGGAAATCTAAAATGATTACTTTGGAATTTGTTGGTTGTAATTATGTTAAGAGGAGTTTTTGTTTAATTTATGCATAACAGTCGAATTTGTTGAGGAGAAAAGTGGTGAACTTGGACTGTGTCTTTAAAATATTTAGAAAAAAACTCAGAAAGGGAAGTGGGAAATGATTGTTTGTTCGGGTGATTGTCTTGGGCAGGTGGCCGTTAGAGTTGGTATGACTGTATGAGCATGCTTTTTACGCCTGGGTGGGGTAGAGTACTGTAGATAGATGCTGAGAGACTACAATGGAAGGGGTGCAAACATATGTAAGATGTGCTGACAAAATGAGTTACTTCTTGCAATCCACAAATGGAAAAAAATTGGAAAAAAATCGACATTAGGTTCAAATTTGTAGATTCTCTATTGATGCCATATTCTTTAACTATAACCTGACTTATATTATTTCAAACTTATAAATTGTAAAAACTTCACCTATTAGCATGATATATCTTATTCCTTAAGGCTTGAATCCGAGAATTAACTCATTTTGTCAGCACGCTTCACATATGATGACTTTGTCGATGACTGTCTACCACAGGTGTGCCACCAGCGACAAGAATCTGCTGAGGGTGATGTTGTTTGTCTGGGTGACTCTCCATCTGACCAGGCCAGCCGTCCTGCATCCACTCTTTCTGCGAAAGTGAGCCAACATTGCAGCAACAGGAGACAGCGAACGCCGGTAACAAAAGTGACAGCTGCTGTGAGAAGGAAAATCTTGAGTCCCTTAGATTTTACAGAGATGCCCAGTGTTTCTCCGGATTCTGTGTATGATTTTGAAGGTTAGTTATCAAATGAAAGACAAGTTAGGGTAACAATTTATTGACTTTTGCAAAGAGAAAATTTGCTGCGGCATGGTAAATATACATACACAATCTCGCACATGTCAACACAAATCCCCCCCCCCCCCTTTTCTCTCTCTCTCTCACACACTCTCTGTCTCTCTCTCTTCCCCCCCCCCCCCTTCTCTCTCTCACACTCTCACACACACACAAATAACAAACTGGAAAGTGTATTGCGCTCCCTGTGCATGTCTGAAGCACATTGGCTGCTGAAAAATGTTGAAAGCTGATATGTCCGAATTTTTTAAAAACATGTGATGGTGAATTTACTTGTTAATGGAAACAATGGATTGCCCCTTTTTAAAAAAAATATTTTTTCCTCCCACCACCAGACTCTCCTATGACAAAAAGTTACGATTCATGTCTCCCCCCAAAGAGGACAAAGGTAAGTTCTTCTCTTGTCACATTTAAAAATTCCTGTACTGTTTTCCTTCTTGTTGTGTGTGGTTAAAAGTGAAACTATTTTTAACCCTTACAGCCCAGTGCTGAAATCCTGATTGTTTCCCCTCAGGACTGACTTGAAATCAGAGATTTGAAGGGTTCAGGGGGTGTGTTGAAAAAAGGCTCACAGTGGCTTAATGTGAGTTTTTGTCTTCCCAGTCATTATTGAGAACAAATCATCGGAGACAGGCTGTCTTGTATTTTTCCTCCATATTTTTCTTGCTTGCACCGTCACCTGCTGATATGGAAGCACTCGCAAACATGGTGCATGGTGATTGGTAGGAAGCTACCGGCAATGCAAAAATAGGCTCAGTGATTGTAAGAATGAAGCATTTATGAAACAGATGACCTAGGTGTGTAAATTGCACATTTGATGTTTTTCTTCTTCCCACTAGGACTCTTCTACATCCAGACTGACTGGAAGCTCCAGTTACACAGACAAGAAGTCCTTTGAGAAATCACGGGAGATGGTAGTTATGTCTGTTTACCTGTTTTAGAATAATAAAGAAACTTGCCAGTTGGTTTATAACTTGTAAATATATCAAAGAATTAAAGTCATTTTTTGAATATGTATAATAATTATATCAGTTGTTTTTTTTTACTATGTTATAAAGCAGGGTCAATTTCATCATCTCTCTGAGTATTTTAAATATTCAAGAAATAGAAGTGCGTGAAGCATGGACATGAAATTAGGTGTAGAAGTGGTCTTTCTTGAGTTCTGTAACCAGATTTTAGATGCTCCTGTCTAACAGACTTCCCAAGAGATTTTAAATGTTCTAATGTAAAGAATTTGTTCTCCATTGTTGATTCCCACAGAGTTTTATAAAGACAATGTGGATTTTTACTCCAAAACGTATATAATGTTTTACACAAGATACTTCAGCCATTCTTACTTGCTGTGTTGTGAACTTATGGGAATGCAGCCAACTTGTGTCCCATATGTTCATATCGATTGCTATGTGTAAAACTCAGCCATAGACTGTTTTGAAAAGTGACGTATGACGGAGCTTTACACTGAGCAGCCAATATGACCTTATGCAGTTGCGAGTGCCATAAAACTTTAACCAAACTTTACCAAATAGACTTCTTTGAAGACGGCCCCACTGTGCCTGATACCATCTTGTGATGTGTGATGCTTTTGATACCAATCCTGTTTGTATTTCTTTTTTTCCAGAAGTCTCATGCCTCCATCTTAACAAATAGCTCTCACAAAAGTAACAGAAAGTCTTCAGGAAAACAAGAGAAAATGGTGATTATCAGACAATTTGTTTTGATCCCAGACCTGCCAAGTACTCCGATAAAATAGGATCAATTCAGATTTTTGGGGTTGTTTTTTTTGGGGGGGGGGGGGGTTGTTTGGCTGAAGGACCCTGAACGAATTTGCTCAAAATACTTATTTTTTTCTTGAACTTCATTTTCATCTGTTGAATGCGACTTTTCGTTAAATCTGCTGGGGTTCTGGAGATTCCCAATTGTTTTCCCCTAACTCTGATTTTTAGGGAGGATTCTCTGGAAAACTGCTTTTGATCGTGAAGTGGTTGGCAGATCTGTGCACAATAATGATAAGGCATCTCCTCTGCAAGCTGTTTAAATAAATGTACTAAGCCCAGTGTCATGCCAAATTGCAGCTTATATGGGAAAGCTTCTTGCATTGCGCAGGCGAGACTTTATATTCCTAAAATGTGTAATTCTGTTGGGGTTTTTTTTCCCTTAGATCTGAATTTTGCTTCATGCTCATTTTGCATCAAGTAATTTATGTATGTCTCATTGCTACATCTCAACATTCCCATAAAGAGCTGAGGTCAGTAAATTTTAGAAAAACTTCTTTTGCCTGATACAAAGATCATGATTTCTTTACCAGTTATCCTTCAAGTCTCCGAGTAGCACAGCGAGTTCGCCGGCTCAGAAGAAAAGTGGACATGCTGATTCTGACTCTGATATGATAGTGGAACATTTGTCTGACAATGATGTTGGAATAGACCATATTGGAACTGTTCAAGATGTTGGAATAGACCTAACTGGAACTGTTCAAGATATTGGAATAGACCTAACAGGAACTGTCCAAGATGTTGGAATTGACCAAGTAGATCAACTTTATGATTCTGTCGTTCCTGTGAATGCTGCGGGCAAGGTAAAGAGGCGGCGAACTGTGAAAAAAGCGAAATCTGTAAGCAATTCGGAGTTATCGTGGACCTCTATGTCGTCTGTGTTGAACCACCAGCTCAGTGTAAGTACTTTTTAAATCTTGTTTATTAGTAGCAATTCCCTACCATAAAAATAATATCCCTATAACACTTGTAAAATAGTAAGACACAGCCTTATACCTCCCTTGATTCCAAATATATTGATGATGTCTTTCCTTTGAAACATATCAAAGAAGCCAAGATATGGAGTGAGGAAAGTAATAGTCAAATCTATATATATATATATATATATATAACAGTCACCTATACAAAAGGCCACCTCCCATTTTCCCCTATCATTTTATTTACATTATAAAGGCACTGTGAAAGACACCTGTCTAAGACAGCCACCTTTTTTCTTGACAATGAATGGCCATCTTAGACAATTTCGGCTGTCGATCAGTTCTGTTCACTCGACCAAGTCACAAGTCTTGTTGTTAGGCTAACAGACTACAGGAAGGAGTTGGGTACGGTGATCCTCAGTGTCTACTCTAGACCTGGCACCTGAATAGTAATAACAATTATATTTATAATGATAATAGTAATATTATTAATTGGAAAAATAATAATAATGATAATAATAATAGTGATAATATAAATGAAGAAGAGAAGCATCATTTAACCTGGAATAGCAAAGAAGGAAAAGTAAAGAAAAGAAGTGTAAAAAAAGATTTTGTTTGTGCAGGTGGTAGTGGACAAGATGTGTGGGACAAGTGCGAGAACAGACTCTCAACTAGCACAGACGTCTGGGCCAGGATATGTATCAGGTTGGTTCACAACTTTGTTGGTTTGTGGATACTTGCTATGTTCTTACTGCACAATGTCTGGTTTGTGCGTTTATGCTTGGCTTTGTCAAAAATCAGCTCATTCAGGACTGTTTCATGACGTTCTGAGGTTTAACTCATTGTACCTGCAGTTATTTTAATTGATTTTCCCATTGCACTGGCTTTGATTCTCTAATTAGCACCACCTATTACAAGAGGGTACATTACTCAGATTGACTCTCCTGCTTTGTTTTCAACAAAGGTATGTTGACTGCTCAGTGTTCGACTCCGTTATACGTTACTTTTCAGAATGGCGTGTGGAGGAGTCTTACAGTAAGCAGTCAATATATTATCGTCACTCCAGGCATAATGAGTTAAATTTGATGCAAACTTTTTTTATAATTCACATGTCAAAATACACAGAGTTGTATTTATTTTTACAAATTGGTATCCACTGCCGTGGGTTTATATTCTGTATTCTTCTGTCAATGTATGGTTAAGGAATCATCAGAGTGGATTTGGTTGTCTGAGTATGTAGGGGAATATTGTAAGTGGCCACTGCTTTGGGGGAGGGGGGAGGTGTCAAGTTTGCTAACTACATAATAACCTTGATGGTCTAGTGCTTAGGCTGTTGGGCTCACAACTTAAAGGTTGTGAGTTTGAACCTCACACAAGGAAGCCAAGAATGTTTCTGAATGTTCTTAGGTCTGTTTCAGTTCGGTTAGTGTTTTACAATGCTAGCAACTGCATAAGGTCTTATGAGCACATTTCTAGGGTCTGCCAGGATAATAATATCCTGTAAATTAAATAGCACATAGAGTTTGCTTCTGAGCGGGGATATGCTCAATACAAATTGCTATTTATTATTATCAAAATGATTTCTGTTCTTGTTACAGGACCATCATCAACCACCAGGCCAAGCAGATCAGCACTGAAGAGGAAGTACCCTGTATCCTTGCTGTTTTCTGACAGTTTACTTATCAAAAGGAAACTTGTTTGTCATTTTATTTGTGGATGGTTGGCGGATGCTCTGGTGGGGTTTGCTCCTTCTTTCCTATCAATAATCATCTATCTTCCTTAACTCTTCTCATTTTCTTTGTATGTTCACTAGTAACAACTCTAATCTTTGACTCTTCTATGACCTATTTGAGTGCCATAAAACTCTGATTTTACTGTCTGTCAGTTGCACTGAGTAGTTTACTGTGAGTTCTAGCTACCCTTGACTCTCCCAGATGATATCTGACTCTGATGCGGAAGAACAGAACAGTGATGGCAGTACCAGCTGTCAGTCAAACCAGTCAAGTACTGAGACATCAGCCAAAAAGTGCTTAACATTTGGTATGTACTTTTTGTCGTTTTCGTTTACTTCAAGTGTGGTACAAGTGTTTGACCAAAAAATGAATACCCATTCCCACCCGCGTGAAGTGATTAAAATTTGTATAAAGTGCCATTCCCAAGGACACAATGTTGGGCATCTTCACAAACAAAACAGTTTTTCTGTGTTCAACACACCATCAGTCGGGTTCCAGAAATAATATCCTTGATGCAAAGTTCTCAAAGTACAGTCGAACCTGCCCTTAACTGCCTCTCAAATTCACAAAGAACAGTGACTTATAGACAGGTGCACACTCTGGACAGGGGCTGAGTTATGGTCACTTACTAGACTTTAGAAAGTCAACAGACAGTTTAGAATCAGAAATCTTAATAAATGTACCTTTTCATTTCATTTTCATCAAAACTAATATCTGTCCAATACACACTCAGTTTGAGGATAGGTTGGTGGAAAACTATGGACAGGTCTTGAGGCCCACTTGTCACGATAATGACTGACTGTAGGCACAATAAGCAGGGGCCACTATGGACAGGTTAAAAATATAGGAAAAATGCAAGGGTGTCAAGGAACAGTGGCTGTTAGTACAGTGACCGCTATGGAGAGGAGACTGCTAAGGCAGGTTTGACTGTTTATCTAAACTAACAACTTTTGTTATAAATATGAGCCTATCTGCTGACTTTTTAGAGTGGTGCTTTTAGTGTTATCAGCTATTTATTTACCTGTACTTATGCACAGATTGTTTTTTGCTTCTATCTGAAGTCTCCTTCATTTTTCCCCAGATCTGGTGGAAGAAACCTGTGCAGCAGATGATGTCCCATCCACTCTCGAAGAGTCTGTGAAAACACCTTCAAAAAGGAAACTAGTCTCTGTCATGGACAACAAATTAGAAAGACCAAGAAAGGACAAACCTTCTTCAAATACTGGGCATGATACCTTGAGGAAGGAAAAAAGAAAATCTCAGAGAAAGCTGGATTTATCTTCCCCATCTCCTGTCTATTCAATGAAGCAAAGACCATCTTTGCCAATGTCTGATTTTGGATTTGGCCAGTTCAGAATAGAGGATGGATCGAGCCCAGAGAAACTCCGATCAACGGCGCTTTCTCTGGATGAAGATGAGGCCCAACTAACATATTCTCCCCCAGAGCCGCTCTCTCTCTCCAGCATTCTGTCCCCGAATCTCCACTCTTCCCTCACAACACTCAGCTCTGACGATGTGAACGACGGGGATATATCCCAGCCTCTCATAGCCTTCTGTAAGACTATAAATGAGTTGAAAAAGCGGCGGACTTCGCAAGCCTCTTTGAAGTCCTCTGAAACTTCTTCAAGCCGATTGTCTGAGTGTGAGGAGCCGTACGATCAGAACTTCAACCCAGACCTTGGAAACTTGCGGGCTTTGGTTGGGTCAAAGTTTCGAAAAGTATGTACACATTTGTGAGATGTGCTGACAACATGAGTTACTTCTCGCTATCCTTCAATGGAGATATTGGCTGAAAATTGATAAAAATTGATAAACTTTCAACTTATGCCATTTTCTTTAAATTTAGCCTGTCTATTATCGTTTCATACTAGCAAATTGTAAAACTCAACCTATAAGTTTTATGGGGATATAATCTGAGAAGTAAACCATTTTTTCAGCATGTCTCAAATTTATGCTTATCTTAAAATATTAATATCAGTTGTGTCGATTGGGGCGTAAGTTGTTTTTTTTAAAGACAAAAATGATTTCTAAATGTTCATCTTTTAATGTTCAGTACAGATTTAGCTTTACCTCTGCAACATGTGTTTATATACCTTTGCATTTGTTGCTTATGAGTTTATCTTTTCTTCGTAAATATAAAAAAAGTTTGAAATGTTTCGCATTTTTGACTAAGGTTATCCAAAAGATTCACCTTTACCTATCCCATAGACTGGATGTCCGTCGGGGCGCTTTTGAAGATTTGGCCACCAGCTTCCTCCACTCCTTCCAGTATTCAGCTTTCCTGAGCATGACTTTGAGTTCCAGGCCTGTCCATTCTTTGATGTTGTCCTCTCAACTCTTCTTCGGTCTGCCTCTGCTCCTTTTTCCCTGGACGCTGCCTTGCAGGGTCATATCCAAAAGCTAATATTTCATAATTCATTTGAATTTTTGGCTGTTTTGTGAGATCTTACCTTTTCCTTTAATGTTGTGATTTTGCAGGTTTTTGCAGATCTTTCAGTTTTGTTCATTATGCCTTTTTTGTTTACATTTCAGATGAGCTCCCAACATGAGGCAGATATTCCTGATGATATTCCATCACCTGTGTCCATCTCACAGCCAGGAAAAAGGTAATAAAAACATACTGGTCATCTGTGAACACAGCTTTGAAAGGCAATTTGATGATTTGCCCTCCTGTGGAATATTCATCCACTGACTTGTGTAAAAGTGCAGTCTGAGACACACCACATAGTGAAATATGCTTCTATGGCAAAACACACACATAACAAACAGATTTTCGCTAATTTTACCTCTGACACCAGGTGACTTCTCACCTCCTTCATTTGCAAATATCTCGACCTCTATTCAAGATAGTTGAGTATATTTTTCATCAAGAGCAAGACAAAAAAAAAGAAGCTTTATGATGGTACCAATAACTCCCCAAAAATTGACCAGCACCTGATTCCATCATGCCATGACACATTTCCTTAATGTCTTATTATTAAGTGTTTCTCTTGTTTTGTCAGATGGTTTGTGGATGATATGGTGGAGTTTGCTCCTGCTTTCCTATCAAACATCTATCATCTTCATCTCTCCTCCTTTTCTTTGTTTGTTACTCTTTAGTAACATCTCTTATCTTTGACACTTGTGTAACCTATTTGTGTTTATAACTCCATAAAACTATGACCTTTCTCTTATTTGTTCCTATCGGCAGTCCCATGGGAAGATTCCAAGACCTGCTTCACAGTATGATGAACAAGACCAAGAAAGACTTGGCAGACATGAAAGTATTTGAGGAGCAGGTCACTGTAAGTTGGGTATTGACTCTGTTGTAGCTTGCTATATGCAATATAATAATACATTCAAATACAATCGAACCTGCTCGAAGGACCATCTGTATAAGGCAATCACCTGTACAAACGACCATTTCCCTTTTTTTCTCTTGCATATTTTTTACATTATAATGATACTGTAAAATGTCCACCTGTCTAAGACAGTCACTTTTCTCCTTGACAATGAGTAGCCAGTTTAGACAGTTTTTGTTAAATGCGCCCCCCCCCCCCCCCAGGCAATGCCACTGAATGAAGTGTCTTTAGGCCATTCCCAAAGGGGGGATATTTAATATGTTCGTATATTTAATATGTTCGTATGCACAGTAGAATTGTAAATGGGCTGACTTACCAATGTCACGCTCATATTGTGCTGAAACAACATAGGGGGAACTGCTGCTTTTTCTTTTCTCGTCCTCACTATCGTCATTTTTCCTCTACTTCTTCTGTATGTTTGTCACTCTCTTGTGAACTGCTATTTCAGGGATGCCTTGATAGTCGAAACAGACTTTGTGCTGTTAAGGCTAGAGAGGTGAGCAGATAAAGCCTAATTCCCCGTTTGGACTTCTCAGTTGACATCCACCCCTTGGCGCTCATATCACCTTATGCAGTTGCGAGCGGAGTAAAAATCTTGCTAAAACTTAACTTCGTCGAATGCTTAGACTGGACTGGAAAACCTATGACAGGTTTCTATTCATCTGTTTCTTGGCTTATGAGATTCGACTGCTTTCACACTGATTTCTTGATTGTTTTTATTCCTATATAATCAACACCAGCATCTGTGTTGTAGCGGTTAGGCGCTTTGCTGTCGCATGCAGGACCCAAGTTCGGTTCACAAGTGGGGAGAAATTTTTATGGAGTATCTCGGTCTTTCCACTAGGATGTTGTATTCCTCTCGCCGTAGGAAGGCCCTGACAAGCAAGGTCAAAAGCCCTGCTTCTAAATGATCTAAATTGTTGTGATCAGAGTATAAAAACACTTACATTGTTTTAGGAGCTCACCAGTGTCAGCTGTGTATGCTAAATAAAATAAAAAACATCCATTAGTCTTTGCATTAATACCAATTATCTATCCTCTCTTTCTTTTTTTTTGAACATTTAGAATCTGAATTTTGATTAAATATTTCTGAAGCATATACATTTAACACCACAGTTGGAGAAACTGCCATTTTTTTAAAATTATAAAATTTTGAGCTTCGTACATCTCAAATCCTTGCTGATGAATGTATGATGATTTGCTGGTTATCCTGTGAACTGTTCTTTCTTCTGTTTCAGCATGTGTGGAGTCAGCAGATGGAGAAGATATCACAGAGCAGGCTGGCACAGACCGCTCAGTGAGAATCTTTATTTGTTGGGGTTTTTTTTCCTGTCATCCCTTATCTCTTTATCTCCGAGGAGGGTAAATCCACTAAGCCGGGGCCCCTTTTTGGTAGTAAATCTAAAAATGACAAAATCGTCACTAAATCGGTCTTTATATCAAAACAAGGTGAACCTATTTTAATAGTTCTTCATCTAAGGAAAGAAATACTGATAAAAGAGACCTGTTTTCGGCAACAGCCTAATAGTAATTTGATGTTGAAGTCGTCGTAAAGAAATGTCCCTGAGCCGCTGGGAATGGCTTGCCAGAGATAAAGATTTAGGGTGCGTGTCCACTGAACAGATTCCAACCGGCCCGATTCCGTCTGTCTCTCGGAAAGCCAGTAGATGAAATGGAGAACCGTTTTTTCCTAAGAAATCAGTGAAAATTCCATTTGACTGTGTAAATTTTGAGGTGTATTCCCCCCTCCAACTTGATCCTGGTTGCCACGCCCACGAGGTCCCCTTAGATTTTATAGATCTAGCCCGCACCATCGATACAGCATGAATTTCAGTACTGACCCCTTCACCATGTAGTTATCATCCACAACGGAATTTACGGCTCTAGATTCAGAGTCACTTTCTTCAAATTAGTATCATTCCCCCTCACAACCCAGCGCCTTTTCAAGAAGTACTTCGACGGTCGTGAACTTGCGTTTTCGAGACATCATTCAAGCTTTTAATGCCATCAAAAACAAAGAAACCGCTGTTCATAGGAAAATTTAAATATTCAGACATAGCTAGCATCACCGTATTTGTGTATTTTGGTAATTTCAAGCATAACTAGCTTCTCTGAAGTGACCGTATCGCTGTTCCGAGTATACTCGTAGCCCGGACTGGACCTTATTACGAGTATACTCGTAGCCCGGATAAAAAGATAAAACACATACTTTTCTTTTTCCCGCTTTGGGTCCATGTGACCTCTTGATTATTTTTAGCCCCGTACTGTAAACACAGCCCGCTATGACAGAGGGGATAAGTAGGCCAACAGACTAGACGTGTCTTTTCCGAACTGTGTGGACACACAAGACAGAATCGATCCGACCGATTTTCTTCCTCCCGACAAAAACCGGGTCGTGTCTATCCGAATGGACATGAAGGCATATAGACCCACGCTATTTTTAACCTTCACTTTTTTCTCCTCATGCAAAACATGTTTATTTTGAAGAAAAAGGAAAACAGACATGGACAGGGAATGAATACAGCTTCTGTTATATTTTATTCTTCTTTCTTCACCAAACATGTGACCTCAGAGCATGCATCAGAATACCATTGAGTTACAATCAGAATACTGAGCATGTACAGCTTAACTCATTCGCTACGCCCAGCCGTGGGGGGCGGCGCGGCTAAAGTGCTGTCAGTATGCTAAGCCGCCTCCGGCGGCTCGAGAACCGATCTTCAATTTTAGCTTAGATTCTATTCCAATCCACATATCCATGTTAAAATAAAGGTCATAATATAATGTTGACTTCCGGGTCAAGCATTTCCACTGAAAATCGGAAGGTTAGATTCAGTTTTGAAACGCAATTTCATAGTTTATTCGACTTTGTTTTATCGCGATGCCAAAATTATAGCCCGGACACCAGTCTTAGTAATTTTACACAACAAAGTCTATCATTATTTTGCCCACTAAAGAAGTGTAGGACTCTTTTTTATAATATTGATACGATTGAACTCATATTGCCAATGCACTGTTATTGAGAAATCAATATTTTTGCGTGCCAGATCTAGGTCTAGAGCTAAATTGTCAAAATATTTTTTTCTCCCAAAAATCTCTGCTTTTTGATGAAATTACACAAAAAGTGCCACTCAAGACATGTATAGGTTTATTCCAAATGCTATTCTGAATAATTACATATAAGATACGAGTGGGTTTTTTTCTGTTTATTATCGTTTTTCACGATTATAAAATTTATTTTTTTTTCAATATCGGATGTTATGATCCAAATGTACAAATATTATGGAATGTATGTGAATAACTGCTAACTTTTCAATATTTTCCAATTCTATATTCATTTATGGTTATTTTGATGTATCAATTGACTAGGTGCAAGCATATTTTTTTAGTTTCACCAAAGATTATAAAGTTTTTATTTTCAAATTTTGTCCGCATCCAATCAAAATTGTGTTGCACAATCGCCTCTTACTGAAACCAAAGTTGAAAAATACATAAATAAACATTACAGATGTATTCTACAATCCATACTGAAAATATTGGTATATAATATTTTGATATTTTTTTGAATTTGTGGCCCCAAAGACCTTTTACCTGCCCCCTAGTCATCATCTCATTCGCCCTCCCGAAAAAAATTCGTCCACAAGCCGAAAATAATACGTAGCGAATGAGTTAATTATAATATTATTATTGTTTATATTAAGTCTGTGTCTGTAAGCCTGTTTGTAGTGCAGGTGTACTATTATATTATTATGGTTATGTGCACAGATCTATATGGAAGAGAGGATGTGTGAGGGAAGAGTGTGTGTGTATATGGGTGTGCACATGTGCGTGCGTATGCGTGTGTGTGCCTGTTTGTGTGTGTGTTTGTGTATGTGGTGAAACATCAAACGAATGTGCCAGGATATGGACAATAAAGATGTATCTTAATAGCAAGGACAAGAAAGATTTATCTTAACAGCAACCCAGAGTTGAGAAACCTCCGCCTTACAGCAACTTTAGCTTGTGTAACAGAATTTTCCTAATAGATAACCCCTTTCAGAAAAACCTTTTCATCTAACAGCAACCTTGATTGCTGTGCTATTATATGTCAGAAAAAATAGTTTTCAATCTTAACTGTTCAAAAACAGTATGAAGAAGGAGAATGGCCAATAAGGTCAATGTATGTGCATCCCTCCTCTCTTTGGTTATCTCCCCACAACACCTGCTTGGATGGGAAAAACACACTATGCTGAGAACCGGTCAGTTCACAGCCTCTGGCCTAGAGCCACCTTTCTTGAAGTCTCCCGGCTGGGTGGTAAAAGTAAAAGTCTCGGTCACTGTGTGTAACAATACCACCTTGCGGTCAAGCACCGACTCAATTAAAAGCTACCAATTTTTGTTATTTCAATACAAAAATATCACCACATCCCGTGATTAGGACTCGTGCATGTGCATATGTGTATCTAACGGGGGTAGGTGGGAGATCACTCTCACACTCACTCGCGCACACACACACACACACACACACACTCACACACACACACACACACACACACACACACACACACACACACACACACACCTCCCCTTTGACAATTCAGTTAACAGGTACCTTCGCTTAGTAGTAACCAAGGCTTATTTCCTAAGGGGTTGAACTTGGCAGACACCACTGTACGAATATATATAATGGATGTATATATGTGTCACGACGCATTGGAATTGGGTGCTCATCAATTTTGGGGCATCTGGAGTTATTGGTATCAGCTGAAAGTTGGTTTATATTTGCCTTGATTCCTATGAAATAAATATCCATCTATCTTGAATATAACTCAAGATATTTGCCTGGTTTCAGTAGTGAAATTAGTGAGAAAATGACCGCCAAAGTTTGGTAACTCCAACAGCTAAAGAGTCCTTGAAAACAGAAAAACGACATATTTTGTGCCTTTAATCAATGTTTTTCAGTAAAATTCACATGGAAAAGTGTTTTTATATATGGACATAAAAAAGGTTGAGCCACAAAAATTTTTTTTTTTTTTAATTTCCAAAATGGTGGAAAAATGCGTTTCTACAATTTCTGTATTTTGATGAGCGCCTGATTTCACCACACTGCCTCACATATGAGTTTCTGTTTGTCCTGTAACAGGCTGAACAAAATGAGGGAGGCTCACCGGGCAGTGTTGTACGACCTGAAGAAGGCCAGGCTGGAGGAGGACAAGTCTCAGGTATATCTGTACTGAACAAAGCTACAAATTCCCTTCTCTTTTTCACAGGTTTTTCTATTGTAAGACCTGTCAAGTACGCTGATAAAATCGGAGCCCTCTGATTTTTGTCCCCCTTCCATGAACCCCAATCAGATTTATATATAAATTACTTCTTTTTTTTTTAAAGTCTTGTTTCCATCAGTCTTACACAACTTATCAAAAATGATTTTGAAATTCATTGGTTTATTTAGGCCTACTATATTTATAATTTCTTTTTTTTGTAAATCTTTTTTATTATGTATGCCAAGATTAGGAGTATTTGTAAAGACAAATTGTTTGTAAACAGGTTAAAACCCAAAGGTGTCATTTCAATTATAGAATGCAGCATGCTCATAGTGAAACAAGCACATAGCAAACAAATTTTCTGGTTCTGAATTTTTTACTTTTACGGTATATTCCTTGTATTTAAAATTCGTAGAAAACAAAAAGATTTCTGCGTCTTGACGATTTTGCCATTTGCGTGCTAAACTATTTTTTCAACAAAGTTTGGGAGCGGTGTTTTTGTTTTCGTCGTAATCAATTATTTCAACCTACTATTCTTGCATTTCAGAAAAAACAGAAAACTTTTGTGAAGGAAGATTTAGAGGCGTTCCAGAGAAGACTTGTTGCTCAATTTGTAAGTTTCTTTTGAATTTGTAAGACTTTTTCTCTCTCATAGCATGGAAGTTTGTAGACTTTTTCTATTTCTCTCTCTCTCTCTCATAAAGTCTTGAATTTGAAAGCTTCTGCATTGGCACTACTTATGTCTGCCTTCAATTGTTTTTGTTCTTTTTTTTTTACAAATGTAGATGTCTTTACACCCCCTTCAACACAATTTAGATAATTTAGGATGTAGGCTTCTAACCCTAACTGTCAAGGCCAACCCTGGCTGAAAGGAATACAACATCCGAGCAGGAAGACCAAGATACTCGATAAAAATTCTCCCCACTCAGAAATCAAACTCATGTCCTGTGTGGAACAGGGAAGTGGCTAACTGCTACACCACAGATGCAGGTTTCTAGATACTTTGAAGCATAACTGTGAGTGTACTCCTTTTTCTTTCTCAAACAAATAATGTACACTGATACAAGCTCTGAGTATGCTGATGTTTTTTCCCCGTCTTTGACCCAATGTCTACTGATGAACAAATTTTTAATGTTCTTTTTGGGTTCGTTTTTTACAATAATTATATGTTCATTGTTGGGAGTAGGTTATGTGTTCAACTAAAACTTCCCTTACCATCTTTACTTTCATTTAGTACTGAAGTAAGAAATTAAAAATGCACGCAGCTAGACAATTCAACAATGTGTATTGCAATTAACTTTATTGTCTCTTCTCTCCTGAAAGGAAAAGATCGGAACCTGGAAATTGGTTATCATAAGATTGATGTATCATGCTACTTGCCAAAATGGTTTATTATTTAACATGGAGCAATATAATTCCTAGCCGTGGATCAGATTCCAGTGTAATATTAACTTCAGTGTGGAGTGAATACAAGAGAAACATTGCTCTCTGCACAGGAATTTGACATTTTCACTTCAGTATCACAGACCGTGGGTCAGACAGTTTCTTTTCAATTTCAATAGTGTTGGTGGTCTGGGGATAAGGCTGTTGGCCTCGCATCCAAACAATTGTGGGTTCAAAACTCTTCAAGAACCTGACATTGTGTTCTTGGGAAAGGGGCTTTACATCAATTTTCCTCACTTCGCCCATGTGGGAATGGGTACCCAGCTATAGACAACTAAAGATCTTGTCAGTTTATTAATCTTTGAGTACTTATTGGGCAGTTTGCACTGTATGCTTTCTGGGAAGCCGAGAATGTTTCTGATTGCCCATGGTTATGCTGGGGTAATAATAAAGATGTTAAAGCACAAAGAGCTTGCTGTTTACCAGTAATGTGTTATACAAAAGTGCTACTTATTATTAAAATCAAAATTGTCTAAGACTGCCGCCCATTGACAAGGAGAGAAGTGGACATCTTACACAGTGTCATTAAACTGTAATGTAAAAAACACACAAGGGAGAAAATAGGAAATGGCCGTTTGCATAGGTGAATGTCTTATACGGGTGTTCATTTGAGAAAGTTAGATTGTGTTTCTTGTTTTTGACCAGTGAAGAAATTAATTTTTTCTCTCTCCTCAGAATGTGCAGTCGCTGGATACACTGAGGAGATGTCTGAAGACTTCCCTCCTGTTTTCCTAACTGGCATGTGCACGGATTGGAACACTAAGAGTATGCAGCCTCGCAACTATTCCGGCTTACCCTCAGCTGTTCCAGATTTTGCAGTCAGGAATTTGAGAGACTTATCACATACACTACCCCAAAACCTGTCCCACTTGATGCAATTTTATCTGCTGTTATGTAATCTGATGTTATAATAATGTTGGTTGTCCCTGATTGGGTTTTTTAAAAGTTGGCAAGTCTGAGTATTGCGAGCTGACGGTTATGGACTCTTGCTGATGGAGGATGGTGAATGAGCCCCTATGAGTGAAGTTACTGCTACTCTTGTCCAGTTTTCTACCTGTAAATTTGTGCTGCAGAATATTGCCAGTCTCCAGAGTACATGCACGTTGCTCACAATGGTCTGAAAAAATTAGAAATTTGTTATATCGGAGTCCGCTTAAACTGAAATCTGCTGGATTAACCATGCTCAGTTATAGTGGACTCCATTGTATTTTCGACTTTGTTTTTTCAGGGTTTTTTATTACGGTTTCAAATAAATTGTCTGTTTGAGTGATTACAAAAATTTCTTGTTTCATCCAGTTTTTGTAACTTAATGCCTCATGAAGTTGTTTCAGATATTTGTGCAGATGTGAGGAAACTTTAAACAGTACTCTGTGAGGTATGTTGTTTTTTTTACAGGATGATGGAAGATTTTTGTCCATGGATTTGTGTGAGTTTTTACATGTGACCTGACTGTTATTTTTTTCGAAGTTCCAGTTACATGAGGAGCACTACAGTACCGTATATAAAGTCTAACACATACATAGCGAAATCAGCGGGCTAGGCATTGAACGTCGCAGATACAAACGCGTAACAGTCTTTTTCCCCCTCGGCAACTGATCATTATTCAATGATAAGCTAGTCTTGACGTAGATCTACGTAAAGAATTGTTCGCTTGTCTATCATATGGAATCTAAAATTATATGCTAGGCTCTACACAGCAACACAACTTTTTGGAAAACTATCAAGATGACACTGGCGTGCTTTTGAACGAATCGGCCTTTTTTTACATAGCTCATAACACGCAGGCATTTCAGGCACTACTTGTTACTTCTCTTTACACATTACTGGCTCAGTGCCCGTAATTATCTACACAAAACCTCACGTTTGCTATAATGAACACTCAGATTCAACATGATTTTGGGTCAGGCCCGGCGATCTCGTTGAATCCGAGTTCCACTGTACTTGCAAGCTTGCTGATTTTCCATTTTCAGATCTTCACATCATTTCAGATTTTTCTTGAAAATGAAAAAGTTACATGATTCTTGTGAATTTGTGGCTTGAAAGAAAATAAAAGTTGCAGATTTTTTGTGTTGAAATCCCCTAGATATAATGTTTGATGTTCCATTTCAAGCCCACTGGTGTATTGTTTGGTTCCTGTGTTGAGTTTGTTCATCGTAACATTAACAATCGTGTTTAAACTTGATAATCAGTTCATCTGTTCCATCTCCCTTTATGCGCGCAGTGTTTGAAGTGTTTCGCAGACTGCAGCCAAATAAAATTTCCCAGCACCAGACGATGACTTCATGTTTTCTACTTTGTTTACGGTTTGAACCTAAATTGTCAGCCAGCTGGTCAAATGTTATAAGCCCAGGAAGCAATATGTTTCAAGAGAGAAAAAAAACAACCTGTTTCGTTCTTTTAACTTTTTTACCTAAATTATGTCTTTCTTTTTTTTCCAACGTTTAGAATTTGAATTTTGACCAAACATGAGCTCATGCTACTCATATCACAGTAAGAAAGAGTAATAAAAAAAATTGTGGGTTTAACTACATCTGAACAGATGCCTGACAATATACTACTTTAACTTTATACATAGCGTATTCATAAAATGACATTAAGTTCTCTTTCAGTTCAGTTTGGTAAAAGTTTTACTGTGGTTGTAACTGCATAAGAACTTATCTTTGTAAGCAAAAGCCGTCAGATTCTTAGAAGATGCAACTGCATGGAATCATCTTTCTCCTTCAAATATAGTGGGGCTTTAGAATAAGAAAAAATACTGTCGAATTTGCTTGAATGAGCATCTGTCTAACCGCTACACCAGTGACAAAGCTGTAGTCAAGTATGTATATTTTAAAAAAAATAATTTTTTAACCCAATATGAACCCTGACCTCCTGGGCCCAAAATAACCCGTCCCCTAGCTTCCTGAGTAAAAAAATACCTACATGGCTACACACAAAAGTTGATTCAAACAAATTCCCCCTTCTTTGACTTTGAGCTGCCTTGACTATTGCAATAGTTACCACAAGCCAACAAGTCCTTCTGATGTCATTTTCTCCTTTTTAATCTTGCATGGACTACTGTTCTATGGTAGACTATCACTCACTGATATATTGGTGCTTCGGGGCAGGGGTAAATATCGGTGACACAGGTTCATTGGGTTAAATAGGAATCTTTTAAATATCACCACTCCTCTCAAGCCCTGGCTGATAGCAAGATATTTGTCGCAGCTTAAATTTCAAAACCTTCACCTAGTCTCATGAAATCTTGACCACACATACAACAATTTTCAACGGTTTTGGAGACCTGGGGGCCAGATCCGTGCATGTACGAGCCCACTAGCTCTTTGCTATCACAACAGAAATGTTTTGTTTTTTGGGGAGTTTTTTTCGTGTTTTACAGTGCTCGCAACTGCGTAATAAGGTCATATATGAGCGCATGGGAGACATTCAACATTTTCAGTTAATTGGAAAAATTGAATTTTGCTCGTGTGGTGGCCAAAGCCTACTTTTATTGATTTTAGACCACCAAGAGATCATTAAAGTGCGCAACCTGCCCATGGGACCTCCGAGATTTTTCGCCCTTGTCCGAGAAGTCTAGGTGTAGATCTTTCCTTCCAGAAGATCAGGGGTGTGGCTGAAAGACAGCAGTAAAAAGGAGCCAAGGAGAAGCAGTAGAAAGGCTGCAGAAAGAGTCAGTGGCCCAGAAGAGGGGGCAAAGGAGGTGAGGGGGTGGGGGCAGAAAGTGGAGACGAAAGCAGACGACAGAACATTGCTAGAGAGCATGAAAGGAGGCAATTTTAGAGAACATTTTTTAACGTCCCTACATGGATTTGAACACAAGACCTTTGAATGAAAGGCGAACACCTTAACCTCTAGGCCAAGAGAGCCTCCCAGAAATGTTAACTTTCCACAATAAGTCGAGTAACAAATAATTGAGTCATGCCTTACTCTTGCAACAGCACCAAAATACGAGGAGAGAATACTCAAATTGGCTCTTTCAATGCCACCGTCTTCCTCAAAACTGTTCTGAAAGAAGCATGTAAAAACTTTTTTTGTTTTAGTAAATGTTTTACCGCACTTGCAACACAAAATAAGGTCATATAAGTGCCGAAGATTAGAGGTGTCACAAGAAAGTAACAATTACAAAAAAAGAGGAGGGAAGATAAGGATGATAGATGTTTGATAGGAAAGAAGGAGCAAACCACACCAGAGCACCCGTCAACCACCCACTAAACATTTTTGCTATAAAAACGATTCAAATAATGGATAAAAAGCAAGCAAAACGTTGCCTTGGATGATTTCAACGGATTTATTGAAACCAGACATATACACCAAGTATTTTCAAAAATATATCCGTCAATGACAAAAATATATCTGTCACTGACAAATGACATTGCACAAAAAATAGTGGTAGTCAAAGTACACAATGGTTGCATATATGTCGCCCGTCGGTGCATGACAGTAGAATAAAAGCCACACCCCACACTAAGACAGACAGACAGCATGCTCCGAGAGGAAAAGTCCAATAGCTGGATGTCTGTACAAGATAAACACATACACACATTCGGTACACACAAAAAAACAACCCTCTATACAGACATGGGCTAACATGTTATTTCTTGGTTGCTCTTACACACATTATATGTTCAGAGTTATTACATCATTTAAATACAAATATTTTCTTCCAGCACCTCACAACACTGAAGAACTTGAACACTATCGTTCTTTACAACCAAACCAGACACCGAGGCAAGGACATTTTCCCATCTACAGTCTAGCACGAACCTAGTGAAACACACAAAGTGAGCAGATTTTGAGGTCCGGACTTTCTTATACATGTTCGATTACATACAGTCAACCTTTGAAACCTGCTCTGACGGCCACCCGTTCATAAGACAATCATCTGTACAAATTGCCACTTCCCATTTCCTTCACCACAATTTTTTCTCCTTCTCATAACAACACAGTGTAAGACGTCCACCTGTCCAAGACATCCAGTCTTCTCCTTGACAATGAGTGGCTGTCTTAGCCAATTTCAACTGTAGATCTATGTATGTAAAACATGTATGTAGGGAAGAAATTCAAACATAACGAAAAGATTTCCATGTCCCCCTGATTTCACTATGCACGAGCTAGACTGCAGTTTGCTGTTGCCATTTTTTTTTCTCACAATACAAGCATGCTCTTTGAAAAAGCTGCACCTGTCACTTTTTGCTGTTTATAAATTGTAGAATAGCAAAAGATAGGAAAGCATTATATTGAGCATAAGCTGAAACCATGTAACTTTCTTGGACAAATTTGAACAGGCCCAAAAAAAATGTTCCCTGCTAAAAAAATACTTCAAGAGGGTTAAATTCACAACTGAATCAAAGGATGTACACACACACACACTGATGAACACACATAAAATGATGCACACACTCTGTACAAGTACAAAGACACACACGCTGATGAACATACACAAAGTAATGTACACCTACGCACACGCACATGTGCACAAACATTCATGTACACGCACACATGACCAGCACTAAACCCTTATAGTTGTAAATAACGTAATGTATGGACAAAAAAAAAGTCACCGTACAGGAAGCATTTATCAGAACACTAGATCTACAGCCACAAAACTGGTATGAAAGACAAAAAGACGTCAGCACACATGATATTGTGACACAGGAACTGCCTCAGACACGTATGCCTCACATTTCTTACTGCCTGCCGAGGTGTAGTGCTTAGGTGCTTCACTGTCGCACGCAGGAGACCTTATGTTTATCATATTTATTATTATTATCTTACCACATTTAAATGTACCGGTAGGTGTTTTACACCCACTTCAACACAATTCGGGCCAACCTAGGCTGAGAGGGATACAACATCCAATCAGAAAAATCAAGATATTTGATGAAAATTTCTCCCCACTCGGGAATCAAACTTAGGTCTTCTGTGTGTGACAACGAAAGATATAACAACAATTACACCACAGGGGCTGTGCATTCATTGGAAAGAACATTAATCAATATATTGTATTTTTTTAAAATAAAGACTTCACATTCATAATTCAGTTGAATAAATTCATAGCCAAAATATTGAAAGACAAAATACTTTGAAAGGACAACACAAAATTGAAACTAAGGTATAGATGAAACAACTGCCCCACCAAGTTCTGCACAACAACTGATCCTGCACAACAAGAGACAGACATACAGAACACTGTTGAGTTTTGACGTGTTTCTTTTTGCCACTTCTCCCGTGCATGGTGCCAGCGATGTCTGTTTCAAAGTAATAGTAAAAAGCCAGAAAGCTGTTCAAAAGTTCAAATTCTAAGCCCAGAGAGCAAAATTTTTCAGGAGAGAAAACAGCTGTTTCATTTTTCTATAAAACTACCTACATTATGCTTTTCTTTTCTTTTCACGTTTTTACATTTGAATTTTGACAAAATATCTCTCAAGCATATGCAGTCGATGCCACTGATTAAGAAACGGCAAAAAACCCCAACAAATTTCAAGATTTTCGGCTTAGTACATCTGAACAGCTGGCCAGCGAATAGTAGCCTTGACCTTGCCATCTCCTCTACACGACAGATGACTTCACGACATCAGATACAGCTCGTTCACTTTCTTCTGTCCGCAGTTAAAACAGGATAAAAAAAACATTGCACTGTTTAATCTTCTCTAGTCTTTGCAAACAGGTCTGAAAGTCAGATAAGTAACAGAATCTAAAGGCCCATTATTGAGGGGCCAAGGTTCCGACACAATTTCTTTGATGTTAGCATAAAGTCATAAAGTGGGTTCAAAAACAAATAATAGGGGATTTACAGCAAACACGTGAAACAAAAAAGTTGACCTATTTTCATCAACACCACACCGTATGCACAACTATGAAACGTAGTCCAACAGACAGGCGAATATTTGTCGAAACTCAAGTGGAGATTTACAGGACGCTCTGTTGTGGTAAGGTGGTACCGCTGTCTCAAATAGAGCAATTTGTAGGCTAGGTTATTGTAAATCATGTATTGGAGGGATGCTATGTATGCACCCTAAGTTCTGTGTTTAATATAGGGCCCAAATAAAGAAACTTCTTTATTACTGAATCAAGATTTTTAAAAATAATTTTTGTTTGGTAGCTGGCCTACAGAAGTGCAATGCAAAGTTATGTGCCCTTTGGCAAGTTAATAGATGAGCAAGAATTTTTTTTTACGCAGACAGAAGAAAGTGAACAAGCTATAATAAGGAGCTCACATTGGGTCAGGGAAGGGAAAAAAAAACCCACTCAGTTTTCTTGACAGTTAGTTTTAGTAGAGGTTTTACGGCGCTCGCAACTGCATAAGGTCATATGAGCGCGAAGGGGTGGCTGTCAACAGAAAAGTCCTTACAGGAAATCGGACTTACTCTGCTCACCTCTCTAGCTTCAACATCACAAAGTCTGTTTCGACTATCAAGGCACCCCGGAAATAGCGGGTCACAAGAGTGTGACAAACATACAAAAGAAGTAGAGGGAAATGACGATAGTAAGGATTAGGAAAGAAAAAGCAGCAGTTCCCTGTTGTAGATCAGGCACAGTTATGAGCACGACATTGTTGGATCAGCCCATTTACAATTCTACTGTGCATTAGAACGAGAAATGTTCCCCCTTTTGGAATGGCCTAAAGACACTTCAGTCAGTGGCACCGCCCCGGGGTTTTTTTCTGGACAGGCTGTATAGAAATTCTCAGAAAGATCAATGGAAGTGCCCTGTTTGAATCAGCTGCCAACCGCATTTTGTCAAGACATCAGCTTAAGAGGTGAGCTCACATTTATAGCTGGTCTAACACACATGTACACTCACACGCACACACACACACACAAACAAAACAGGAAATAATCATGGTTTTTATCTATTCATTATATTCTTGAGAAGATGGGGGGAGGCTGGGCTTCTGTATTTTCATTCCCTCCTGACCAAACCTTGATGAGACCACAGCAGTATCCGTTGTGGGAAAAGATCGGAGAATATTCAAATGTAACCCCATTGATGTATAATATATATACACACTGACTGCTCAGATTAAGCCTCCGTTATACACCCCTTTATAAATTGCGTATGGCAGAGTCTTACACAAAGCAGTCGTTATATTTAGACACACTTCAAATGTACCTCCATTGACATACGTAGACATATAGACACAATTCAAATGTTCCCCCATGGACATATCAATGGTTCGGTGCAAGAACTTGAAGAAGACGATGTCATGCGTCACTTGTCAAAATGGCATATGGTGGATTCTCACACTAATCAGTCGATATATGGTACACATATAGACACAATTCAAATGTCCCCACAGATATAAAAACACAATTCAATTATGTTCCCCGACAAATATATAGACACAATTCAAATGAACCAGCTATACGAGAGCAATCAGCAAGACAGATCCATCCTCCAAATGTAGTAACAAACATACAACAAACAACTAAGTATACACTGCTTCTCCTCACAAGCCTTGACATACTTTCAACACTCTTTCAAAAGCAATCTCTCTAAAAAGTAAGAAAAACTTGTGTACCAGTACCGAAAAGGAAACAGAAGCAAAAAAACCCAAAAAAACCCTTCGTCTTGAGAAAAACCCTCAGTTCTTGTGATGAAATTACAAATGTGTTTTAAATTGATCTGGCAGTTGACATGGCAACAGAAAACGAGTGACAAAAATGAGAACTTTGTCATTATGAACATTACAAATGATTTTTTAACTTTGATGCTAAAAGAAAGGCAAACATCAGTATTATGCTGACACCGACAAGCATTCAGCATTGTGTAAGTTAGGCCGGAAGTCTTTCTGAAGACTGGTGAAAAAACTGGGAATAATGTTAGTAGAGTTGTTAAATCTCACAATTTGTATCTTTCCTGAGTTTTTACACACCACTGCTACTGTGCTACTATAAATAATAATAATAATAATAATGATTTTTTTTAAAATGACAATAATAATAATAGCATTCATATAGCACATATCTTCACTCTGTAGTTAGCTCTATGCACTTTACAACTATAATTACCCCAGCAGACCCTAAAACACCTGGAAACATTCTCAGCTTCCCGGTGCAAGCTATGGATTACACGTGCTCAAACGTCAATAAACTGACAAGATCTTAAGCTGCCCAAAGCCAGGTACCAATTTCCTCCTGGATGAAAAGAGGAAAATTTGTGTAAAGTTCGCAATACTTTCCCAAAGACACAACATTGGGCTCCTTGCAAGATTCGAACCTACGGCTTTATGGTTTAAAGCTAAACCACCAAAATCTCTGAAGAATCACGTTCCCAGCAGAAAACCCCGGCAAATGTTCACAACAAAGGAGGGACCGCTCCACTCGCGGATTTCTGCGGCAGAGCAATCAGTCGTACTGGCTCGCGAAAGGCATGAAAACCGTAACCAAAAAATCAATACATCTTATCAGGAAATATCACTAAGGATTCAATTCACATATGGCTTCCCACTGTCTGATAAACCCTTCGGTCATAATAAATATTCATGAGAAAAAGATGGCTACTTTCAGTCGTATTAATAATGATAATAAGATATATGAAAAAAAACATGGGTACGTTACAGGAGGTCCAACTATTTCTGTACCAAAACTACATTTTGATTTTTCAATAAGGTCTGCTGTGATACGGATATCGAGCAGACACATAAGTACATCTTTGTGGTATTTGAAAGAAACCCGTGAGTACACACAAAGTAACTCAACTTTAAGACGGTTCACTTTTTGAGCAGATAATCCGAGATAAGTCATTAGGTGATATAGGCCTACTCTACAAGACATGACATGTTTAACTCACTCAATCCCGTGACTGAGATATCTTGGTCAGCTCGCGGGCTGCGTTCAATCCCACAACCTAGAGAACTCGGTTCTATAGTTTCGTTCCATATACTAGTTATTTTGTCTCTGAAAATGGCCCAAAGTTTTATGTGAGGTCAATTTATTATTTCCCTGGCCAATTCTGCCTCGAGGGGTGCTGGAATTTTGTTTCTACTGTCATATCACTCTGAGATATTGCGCTTTTTATGAAGGCACTTTCAGCACGTTTGTTCACATTGATCAGCTGAGCATGTCTCGCAATCGATTCTCTCTCCCTTTCTCACATATATTCTTTTATTCATGAAAGTATTCAACTGTCTTTATTATACATGCCATACAATACATAGATCTAGTAACTCACAAGCATATTTTGAATATCAATGTAGGCCTACTCTTGCTCATTCGGCCATGAAAAAAACAATAAGCCCCCCAAAAATGCCAAATTTGTAAAACACCCCATGGCAAAACTACTAGGGTAACATACTTCGAATTTGGTATGTCTAAAGATCCACCTTAGGTTGTACTTTGTGCCAAATTTCAAAGCAATTGGACGATATTTGTGGTTACTAGTAGGCCCTTACATAAGTGCCAAAATAACCGGTTTCTGGGTACAATTTCGGGAAAAACTCCCGGGATTGAGTGAGTTAGGAGAAATTCTCAGAAATGTTTGTGATGCATAAACCATAAACCTCTATCTCACCCACAATATTTCATGTCCCTCCATGGGCTACACTTTTCTGCAAAACTTTACAGTCGTCTGCCAGCTGTTATAATGTACTAGGCCCAAAATTTTGGAAATATTTTACTTTATTGCAAAATTCACGGCATCAGCTGCATGTGCTCAAGAAGTACTTTGTCGACATTCAAATTCTAAACGGTGAAAAAAGCAGGAAAAAATAGATTAAATGTAGGTACATTAGTTAAAAGAATGACACTTTTTTTCTCTCTCCTGTAAAATTTTGCTTTCTGGGCTTATTACATTTTAACAGCTTGCCAACAAAACAGGCTGATGAAAATTTTTCATCCGTACAAATCATCTAAATCTTTTATCTAAGTTTACCAAACTGACTAATACTATCTAGAATCTATGAAGCAAAAACTTTGACAACTTAAGTTCCTTCCAGCAAGAAACATGCCCCCAAAAATGTCAAAATGACCAAGAAAAGGAAAAATATTCGAAAAAAAGGTTGACGAAAAATATAAAAAAATCCACTGGGACATTTGGCAGGATATGTGTGAAAGTAAAAACAGCCACAAATTCTGATCCGTTTGTTCATGCTTTGTCAGACTTTTTAGGCCTGGCCCCTTCTCCACGCTCGCCCTTGGGTGGTTTGACGTGCCGCACCAGCTCTTTGCCACACTCCGCCTCACTTCTCCACGGCTTGCACTTCACGCGGTAGAAACACGTACCCTGGGGCACCCGGAACCGGTTCTGGGGCTGGAAACACAAGCAGAAATATTTTCATCATCACATTGCAAAGGTAGAAGGCACGAGAGGAAGGGAGAGACTTCAACAGAGGATGGGAATGGGGGAAATAGAAACCTGGCTTAGAGCCAGAACAATTTAGCCCACTTGACCACTCAAGCACTGCATGATGCTACATGATGTAAGTCTTAAGTGTGAAGGGGTTATTGGAAAAATAAGTGTATACCAAACTGAAAATTGCGAGGAAATCAATTTTGAAATCTTGTAGACTCATAAATCAAACAACAATTCAGTTATGAGTCTACAAGCTCTTAAAATTGACACCCTAAAGAATTCCAGTTTGTGATAATACCTGTTTTTCCATTTTTATATGTTTTATATGTGTGTGGCATCGCAGAGAAATCAGGCACTGTCAAAATAAAGATTTTGAAGAAACAAGAGATTTTTTTCCTCCCACTGGTCAATTTTTATAGATTTTGTTTTTCAGCTGGACACCTTTTATGCCTATTTTTTTTTTTTATAAAAAAAATCATCTGTGTGGATTTTACTGAAAAACAATGATCAAAGGCACAAAAAAATGTAAATTTGCAACTTCCAAGGACATTTGGGCTTTAGAAGAGCCCACAATTTGGTTGCAATTTTCTTGCTAGTTTTTTTTTTTACCTCTGACACCAAGTGACCCCCACCTTCAATCGTAAATATCTCACCTTCTATTGAAGATATATGAGCATTTTCATTTTCCATCAAAAGCAATACAAATGAACAAGCTTTAAAATGATACCAATAACTCCATGAGCCTAAAAATTGACGAGTTCCTTATTCAACCACGTCATGACACAAATGTCTATAAATTGAGGAGAGCAAGATTGCACTGTACCCCATCACATCATATTTCTAAAAAAACAAAAGAGAAGTCGTTACCTTTTTGGCCAGGCAATATTCCTTGTCCACGACCTCGGCCAGGATCCACGTCTTGCGACATGACAGATCCACACCTGGCAGGGAGACAAATGTATTTCTTGTAATAATTGATTTTAAATTAGGTCATAGAAGTGCTAAATATTAGGGGTGTAGAGAGTAACATACAAAGAAAAAAAAAAAGAAAAAAGAAAAAGAGGGCAATACATGTTGGATAGGAAAGAAATAAGCCATAGAAATCCCATCTTCGTTTTTTTAGGTTCAGTAAGAGTTTTACAGCACTTGCAACACAATAAGGTTATACAAGGGCCAAAGATTAGAGGTGTTGCACAAAAAAGAAGGAGGGGAGATCAGGACAACAGATGTATGATAGGAAAGAAGGAGCAAACCACACCAGAACATCCGCCAACCACCCACTCACATCTTCGTTTAGTAGAAAAGTTTTACGGTGCTCGCAATTACATAAGGCCATATGAGCACGATCACAGGTCCCCCCACTCCCCCACCCCCCTTTCCATTATGTAAAAGTTGTAGCTTAAAACAGCCAGAAACGTTTGTGGCACTCATTAATAATAATAATGACAATATAATAATAATAAAAATAAATAGCATTTGTACAGCGCATATCCCCATTCAGCAGCAAGCTTTATGCACTTTCAATCTAGTTGTTAGACTATTAGACTTGCAACCATAAGGTCGTTGGTTCAAATCCCGTCAGGAGCCCAACATTGTGTCCTTGAGGAAAAGCACTTTACACAAATTTTCCTCACTTCACCCAGAAGGGACTGGGTACCCAGCTATATAAAGCAAAAAATTCTTTGAGAGTGTGCAATCCACAGCAATCCCCAGCTTGCTCTGTATGATGTTTCTAGGGAAGTTGAGAATGTATCTAAGTCTTTTGGGGGACTCTCGGCACTCGCAACTGCTTAAGGTCATATGAGGCCGCGGGACACATTAAACATTTTCAGTTAGTAGGGAAATTCGAATTTTGCCCGGGTGGTGGCCGACTCCTACTGTTATCGATTTTGGACCACCAAGGGATCTTTAATGTGCGTAACTTGAACATTGGACCTCCAAGATTTTTCACCCCTGTCCCAGAAGGCTTGGTGTAGATCTTTCCTACCATAAGAATCAGGGGTGAAGCTGAAAGACAGTAGTAAGAAGGTGCCATTGAGTAGCAGTAGAAAGGCTGCAGAAAGAGTCAGGAGCGCAGAGGAGGGGGCAAAGGAGGTGAGGGGGTGGGGGCAGAAAGTGGAGATGAAAGCAGACGACAGAAAATTGTTAGAGAGCAGGAAAGGAGGTGAAAGGAGAAAATTTAAGAGAAGAAAATGTTTCATTGCTATCCAGATTCGCACCCGCCAGTGAGAGGGGAATACCTTAACCTCCAGACCACGAGAGGCCCCTGTGCCTAAGTCTGCAGAGGTAATAACAGCTGTGAAGCGCATAAAAGCATGCTGTAGAGCGTGGTTATGTGCTATATATTTGCAACTTATTGCTACTATTTTGTAACTGTATTTCTCACTTCGTTTCAGGCCCAGGGGCTCGAGCGAGTCGCTATGCAGGAAGTGGAGGTTGGCCCCGACGGTGAATACGACGTACTGGTCATGTCGCTCGTCCAGACACAGCAGAACTAGGTCACCTCGCTCACACCTGGACGACATGGGGGGATGGGGAAGGGGGAGAGAAAAAGAGGGGGGAGTGAGGGGACAGGGAAAGGGGAGGGAAGGGAAGAGGATGGGGGGGGGGAGGAGATGGTGTGTGAGAGTGAGTGAATGAAAGGGGTAGTTAGGGAAAGGGGAGGGAGGGGGAAGGGAGATGGGGTTGGGAGAATGAAAGGGGGGGGGGGGGGGGAGGGAGAAGGGGGAGAAGGAGGTGAATTGTGTAAAAGCAATTTGTAAAAATGGGTTTTCAAAATGAAAATGATTAAGCAGATCTTTGGACAACCTTTCAAGAAAAGAAAAGATATGACATGATCGCTGGAGGGACTACCTGACAACAACGACAGGTGATTTTTACAACAACACAATTTAGACCATTAAGGAGGCAGGCTTCCACTCTGCGTATCACGGCCAACCCAGACTGAGAGGGATACAACAACCCAGCAGAAAGACACTGACATACTAAATAAAAAATCTCCCCCCCCCCCCCATGATGGAACCAAATTACGGTCTCCTGCGTGCGACAGCCAAGCGCCTAACCACTACACCACAGACAACGGCATCAAATCTTTCTCCATGTACTACTATACTGCTTACCCCTTGATGGAGACCTTGTCGTTGGCACTCTGTTTCTCGCTGGCCGTCATGGAAATCTCCATCTGTGAAGAGAACAATCTGTGAGTATGGACAAACTATACGATTGTGTGGCATTGCGGTGAAATCAGCTGCTCATCACAAAATAATGAAATCCAAGACACTTATTTTCTTCCAGCCTTTGAGAAATTTTTATCACTCTTATTATTTTAGGCTTAACACCTTTCTCGTCCATTCAAAAACACATTTCTGTGTGGATTAGACTGAAAAAAAGTTGATCAAAGGCACTAAACAAGTAAATTTGTAGTCTCAAAGGACTTTAGGACACTCAAACTTTAAAAATCACTAAAATTTAACGGCCATTTTCTCGCTAATTTTATCTGACATCAGGCGGCCCCCACCTCCTTCAATCGTAAATATCTCAAGTTTGATTCAAGATAAATGGGTATTTTTTTATCATCAACAGAAGGACACAGTTTGACACAAACAACTCCATATGTCATATATCTGATCAGTGCCTGATTCCACCGCGTCGTGACACAATCGATTTTCTACTGCAAATGCTTTACGTCTCAGTCCACACAATTTTGGTAATTTAAGGATCAACAGTTGCTCACACTAAAAACTCACAAAGTGAATTTTTTTTCAAAAAAAGAAGTCCTTTGACACCCCCATTGACAAAATTTAGATCATTTAGGAGGCGGATTTCGACCACGTCCACTCACCTACAAACTTGTCCTATATGAGCACAAATGAATGGTACATTTCTACGAGTCTTTCGTCACTAATGTGAGTGACAACCCTATTCAGAAAGACCTTACAAAATCCCCCTGAACACAATCACCACAGCCTCCGGCTCAGGAGAATTTTACGGCATTTTCTCTTCTGCTCCAACAGAACTTCCAAGTTCATGGACGTTGCTTATCTCAATTCCTCTGCACGGATGATGGGAGCATCCAGTGAAACTCAACCGAACCTTGTGCGGACAGTCCCAGTGTCCAATCAGATCGAAGAGCGCACGAAATATTACTATGATCCTTTAAAAATCTAAGTAGTTTTTTGTTTTTTTTATAGTAGAAGGTTTTACGGTGCTCGCAACTGCATAAGGTCATACGAGCGCCAAGGGGTGGACGTCAAGAGAGAAGTCTTTACAGGGAATCAGACTTATTCTGCTCACCTCTCTAGCTTCCACAGCACAAGGTCTGCTTCGACTATCAAGGCACCCCAAAAATAGCAGGTCACAAGAGAGTGACAAACATACAAAAGAAGTAGAGGAAAAATGACAATAGTAAGGATTAGGAAAGAAAAAGCAGCAGTTCCTTGTTGTAGATCAGGCACAGTTATGAGCGTGACATGAATCAGCCCATTTACAATTCTACTGTGCTTGAACGAGAAACGTCCTCCCTTTGAGAATGGCATAAAGACACTACAGTCAGTGGCACTGCCCCGAAAACGCGATATTGTTACATAAATATATAAACTATTTCCTCTTTCATGTTGACAAAGTTCTAGCCATTTTATGAACATTTTTTTGCACACATCGTGTTACATTTTTCACAAGATCTTGAAGAAAATTCTGGCATATTATGGAAAATAATTTTGAGGTCAAAGAAAGAAAATTCACACAAAAATGGGTCATGTTCTCACCACTTTTTTCTCCAGTTCTGCAATTTTTACATCTCTCATCTTCACCTGAAATAAAAACCACAGATAAAACTGAAATAAATTTAAAAAACAAAACAAAAAAAACCAATAAACCAATAGCTGGAGAAAAACGGAGAAAAAAAAAGAAAAGAAAACAGTATAACTGATGATGAAGTCCAAACAACAAAGTTAACAGAATGATTTCAAATGGTTTCAAAATAAAACAAAATTCAGTCACTAAAAACAAGGCAGATGGAAACATGAACGTTCAGTCGGTACATTTATCCACTTTGGACCCTCTGAAAATAAAAGTAAACACAAAACATGACCGATTTTCTACATTATTAAAATATTGCACATAGAGACAATATTAAAATATTGCACATAGAGACAATATTAAAATATTGCACATAGAGACAATATTAAAATATTGCACATAGAGACAATATTAAAATATTGCACATAGAGACAATATTAAAATATTGCACATAGAGACAATATTAAAATATTGCACATAGAGACAAATACGTGTCACCAATCAGACGGTCATCAAAATAATGAAATTGAAGAAACCAACATTTTCTGCCTGTTGGGCAATTTTCATCCATTCTCTTTGTTTCGCGGGGGGGGGGGGGGGGGGGGGCTCAACACTTTTACGTCCATTTCCTCTGTGGCCTGAATTAATCAGGAAAATGACGTAGTTATCGGTATCTCAGGAAATATAGTTTGAATCTGAGAATTTCCCGATAAAATCAGGAAGGTTGGCAGGTATGTGTTCTACTCACCTCCTCATTGTCTGTGGGGCTGGTCGGAGACGAAATTCTGAAAGCAAAAACAAAAAGTATTTTGAAAAGTTGAATAAAACAATACAAAGTTATAGACAATTTCTGAAAAAAGACGAAACAGCCGAGTAATGAGTAATGGAACAAAAAGTTACAGAGGAATAAGTGACTTCCTGAGAAGAGAAATAGAAATCTCCAAACCCCAAGTCAATTTAATTGATTAGACATTCCATAAATTTTTCACTTTTTTCTATCTTTAAATATAGGTATTTTTACTCCACCATCAACACAATTTAGATCATTTAGGAGGTGGGCTTCCGACCTTGCCTTTCAGGGCCAACCTGGACTGAGAGGGATACGACATCCAAGGAGGACGAATGAGATACTCAATAAATATTTCTCCACTCACATCCCACAGTTGAAGGGAGTCGACATCCTTTCATCTTGTTGGCTTCATGGAGGCCAAAAATGTTCATCTGTTCGTGTACAGGGGGGGGGCAAGTTCACATTTCTTTGGTCGAAATGGTTAAATATGATATTATATCCGTGCTCATGGCTTAATATTAATGAGAAAACATACCAAATATAATAGAATTAGACCTCAGTTCTTCAATTCCCCAGAAATTATGAAAGTAGTCCAGTCGTGTGACCTCAATTTGCCCCAGGCGAAAAAGGCTCTCTAATGAGCGAAAGAATGATGTGGTGTGAACATTAAGACTAAAGTCAGCTATGATACGTTACGCGGACAGACAGTAATGAGTCTGTAGTCCGGATGCGCCATAAAAACTGTTGTCCAACTCACCGTTCTTTGTCCATGAGGATGAAGCTGGTGGAGTTGTCCCCCCCTGTGCTCTCCATCATCTCCTGGTAGCGACTGAACTCGGACGAGAGCAGAGCCATCCGACTTTGACTGAGCTGGTCCGGTGACCTTGACAGTGCGATAAGTCAAGGTTAGGAAAACACGTGTGAGGACTTTTTTTCTTTTTTTTCTTCTTAAATATCGGTCTTTTTCTGTCAACATAACTTATCATTTTGAGGAGGGTTTCTGACCCAGCTATCAGGGATGACTCGGAATGAGAAAGATACAACTACACAACATCCCAGCAGAAAGGCCGAGATACTCGATAAAAATGTCTCCCTACTCAGGAATTGAACTCAGGATCTCCTGCATGTGACAGTTAAGTGCCTAACTGCTACATCACAGACGTCCGTGTATGAGGACAAGAAAAATTACACAATGAGGAAAGAACAATTTTGTGAGCAATGAGGAATGAAAGAACATGGGTAATAAATAAAACTAACCTCGGAGCTGCCTCCTCCAGCTGTTTCTGCTGAGTCATCAGTTCATCCTTCTCCTGCCTCACAGTGTCCACCTCGGTCTGCAGGCCGCTGATTCTCTCTGCAACACAAAGTGAGTGATATAGTCAACAATTGTGTCATGACACAGCGGAATCAGGTGCTCATCAGTTTTTGGACAGATAAGATATGATAAGATACATCTTTATTGCCCAGATCCTAGCACACTGCTTTGGTGTTTCACCACATACATACACACAAACATACACATACACACGCACACATGCATGTGTCACTGCATGGTGAAATCGTATGTTTGTCAGTTTTTTAACATATCGTTGCCCTAGAATTACAAAGTCCCTCCCAACAGCTCAGTACCTATTTTTGAGAAATTTGACGTCAAATTTTTAGTTTCACAATATGTCAAGCTTTTTCGAATGCAATTCTTTGAATATCTTGATAAAGATTCCGAATAATCTTATGACTTTGACAGGACAGACAGAACATTTGGTTACTGACCTCATGGTCAAAATGGTGAAAAATGTCACTTACACCACGCAATCTATAATTATGGAGTTATTGTTATCATCTTAAAGGTTGTTCATAGATTTTGCTTTTCATGGGAGTAAAAAAATCACCCATCTATCTTGAATAAAAGTTGAAATATTTGTGATTGAAGGAAGTGTGGGTCGCCTGCTGTCAGAGGTAAAATTAGCAAGAAATTGGTAGCCAAAATTTAGGTGACTTCAAAAGCTTGAGTGTCCATGGAAACTGCAAGTTTACATTTTTTTGTGCCTTGATGTTTTTCAGTCCATATATGAATCTGTTATTAAATGGACATTACAGGTGCTGAGCCCAAAACAAATAATTTGATCAAAATTACCCAACAGGCCAAAAAATATATATGGGTTCCTTTTATTTCATAATTTTGACAAGAACCTGATTTCACTATAATGGACATGTCCGGAGTGCAGGGATGTTGCTTCCTGAAACAAGAACAAGAACAAGAACTATAATGACGCACAATGTCTGACCTTGAGCTGTGGTATCTATATGAAACGCCTTTACTTTCATAAAGAATTTTATAATACTTGCAACATAAATAGGTCATATATAGGTGCTGAAGACTAGAGGTGTCACTAGAGAGTAGCATACGAAGAAAAGAAGGAGGGAAGGAGGAGAGATAAAGACGGTAGGTGTTTGACAGGAAAGAGGGAGGAGAGATATGGTCTATAGCTGTTTGATGGGAAAGAAGGAGGAGAGAAAAGGACGATAGATGTTTGACAGGAAAGAAGGAGCAAACCACACCAAAGCACCTGCCAACCACCCACACAAAATGTCTGACCTTGAGCTGAGGTAAGTTGGGTGTTGAGATCGTCAATCGTCTGCTGTAGCTTCGCCCGGCTGGCCTCAGCAGTGTTGTCTGTTGCGGTGGAACTGTCCTCGGTCTGCGTGGTCGGATGTCTGTTAGCGATCATCTGTACAAGGCAAACAAGGTTTTAGTTTTGGTTTCAGCATACAAAGAAAAAGAGGTGGGGGGGGGGGGGGAATATCCATATTATAGATGTTAGATAAGGAGCAAAGCATACCCGAGCACCCACCAACCACCCCCTCAAACAAGGAAAAAATGTCAACATTTCATGAGCAAACAATCCCAGCCATTACAACGACACACTCCGAGATTTGAGAAAAAGACAAAAAAGTCAGGGGAATGATGATTATATCAAAGTTTGGTGAATCCCAAAGCTTAAGCATCCTTAGAAACAGCAAATTTACATTTTTTTGTGACTTTGATGAATGTTTTCAGTGAAATCCACACAGAAATGTGTTTTAAAAGGACATAAAGGTGTTAAGCCACAAAAATATTTTTGCTTAATTGATAAAAATTGTTCAATTGGCGTAAAAAAATTTCAATTTCTTCGATTTCATTATTTTGACAAGTGCATGATTTCATGACACCAAACATTTGCTCTATAGACAACTATCACAAGCCTCACCTCCTCGCTGCCGTAGCTGGCGCTGCTTGTGAGCGAGATCACATCGGCCAGCAGGTCTGTCTGTGTCTCGCTGGAGGTCATCACGTGGTCCTTGACCTTGCGCAGCTCAGCCAGCAGCGACTCTCTCTCAAGGTCAAACTGGATTTTCAACTCTGTCAACTTGTGGGCATGGCTGGAGGGAAAGGCGAGCGTAAAATATCACTTGTGTCTTTAGTTTAAAATCACTTGCAACATAATTAGGTCATATGAGTGCTGAAGATCAGACGTGTTACAAGATAGTAACAAGTAACATGCACAGAAAAAAAAGAGGAGAGAATAGGACAATGGATATTTGATAGGAAAGAAGGAGCAAACCACACCAAACCACCTCCCAACCAACCACCCAGACACACACACGTCCTTTTAAATGTAAGTGCTTTTACATCCCTATCGAAACAATTTAGATCATTTAGGAGGTCGGTTTCTGACCCTGCCTGTCAAGGCCAGCCTAGGCTGAGAAGGACAAAAAACCTCACAGCAGAAAGAATAAAATCCTTGATAAAAATGTTCTCCCCATTCAGAAATCCTGGATGCAACAGCAAAGCGTTATACTGCAACAACATAGACGTCACTCACACCCAACTGTATGTAGAGAAGAATGAAAAATTTCCATTTTCTCCTACTGTATTTGGTAAAGAGAGGAAGACCTGTGACAATTTCCACCCACTCGAACGGTATATACATTGTTAAGAAAGAAAAAACAGTGACAATTTCCACCCACTCAATCTATATATGGTAAAAAAAGAAAGTACAAAGAGCAAAATCCTGTGACAATTTCCACTCACTCCATCAGCATATATTGTTAAGAATGAAAAACAGTGACAATTTCCACTCACTCCAAGTATATATTGTTAAGAATGAAAAACAGTGACAATTTCCACTCACTCCATCAGTATATATTGTTAAGAATGAAAAAACAGTGACAATTTCCACTCACTCCATCAGTATATATTGTTAAGAATGAAAAAAACCCACAGTGATAATTTCCACTCACTCCATCAGTATATATTGTTAAGAATGAAAAAAACCCACAGTGATAATTTCCACCAACTCAAACTGTATACAATAAAAAGAGAAAGTACAAAGAACAAAACCCTGTGACAATTTCCACCCCCTCCAATTGTACACAGTAAAGAATGAAAAACACTGACAATTTCCACCCCCTCCAATTGTACACGGTAAAGAATGAAAAACACTGACAATTTCCACCCCCT